TACACTTTCTCTATCATGCAAAGTCTTGCTGAATCACATGACCGATCCTGTTCTCGTTGAGATCCAGTAAATGTCAAAGCCGTAGTTGTCTTCAGATTTGTGGCTCATGATCTCTTCCAAAGCAGTTGTCTGATTGCCATTGAGGTCTACAACAGTAAGTATATTTCTCAGGATAAGTGCACTGACTTCTTTTTTGTTTTTTTGGATTTTGTACTTTGTAAAGCACCTTTGCTTTTATCAACAAAAGAAATTGTTTTGTAGAAATAAATTTCCTTTTGTGAGAAGAATTCAGGGAATATCAAATCTTAAATCTACATTCTCGATGGTGGGGGAAATATTCTATAGTAACATTCGACTTATTTTAGTGCTGCTAAATATCAACTGGAGCATTCAACAATTCTGACTTACTTTCATGGATGACATTGCCACAAAAAGCATGTGTGTGCGTGTGTGTGTGCATGTGTGGGCCTTCGTAAAAATGATGGAAATGTGAATGAATAATTCAGTTTTGTAATAAATCCCTGAACTGCGGAGAGCAATCAGCTTATTTTCTTGTACTTATTTTGTGTTGCTGCTTAAGATTCAGTGTGCCCTCGTAGTGAGATATGCTCCCCAAAAAGATGCATATTCAAAGACACTTCCTGTCCGTCCACGGCTTTGAGGATCAACGATTGAGTTAGAATGACATGGAGAGACATAGTAGCATAGTCAGTAAGAGAAGAAGAGACCACCCTCGAAGAGAAGAGACCGTCCCTGTCTTTAAATATATCGTAAATAAACAGTTTGACAAGTGAGGCCAAAGAGTGGGAGTGAACGAGAGTCCTCGTTCTTAGTGAGTCAACTTAATGCTGTGTAATAACCACCTCAGCAGCTTAAACAGATTCTCATAAATGTGAAGAGAGACAGCCGGAGAGAGAACAGAACAAGCTGCAGCCGCACCGCCACAGACACACTTTCTTCATTAGCAGCAGCCATCTTTTCTTGCACTCAGCAAGAGAGCCAATGCTCCCTATGGAAGATTTATGCAGCTTTTCCCTTCTGACTGTGACTCAGAGGAGTGCCAGCATTGCTCACTGAAAACTGTGTGTGATGAAGTGCTGTTGTGATTTTCAAAGCAGCCATTTCTCCCTTTATTCCAATTTTAGGGTGAGTGTGTGTGTGTGAAGTTTCCAGCAGCCTAGTGGCTAATGCAGCCCACACTAGAACCTAGCGGAAGCTTTACACGGAAGCTTAACAGGCTGTTAATGGATGTGGGGCTGTACAATGAGTACGGAAACAAATAAAAGGGTTGGATATAGATTATAGATTATTAGTTTAGCGTAAATTGTAGAAAGAGCAGCTAGGATCTACTTTAGGATCACACTATTAAAGAACTCAAAGGTCAAGTTCAAATTTGATGTTTTTGCTCTGCAGCTTTTAGTTGCAGGGCCAAAAGCAAACCGTGTGGGAGAAACGATAACACCAAAAATAAATGTAGTGCAAAAAGCAATAAAAAAAGGGGCTGACTAAATTACCGAGAGTACTGTTTTTTTCTTCGAAGTCTCATCTGCGTCTCATCCCCTTTGTTCTGATATTAAGACCTTTTGTGGTATCCTGTCGTCCTTTCTTTCACGGCACTCAGAGCGAAACAGCCAGAAACAAAGCGAAGCATCAGTCGGGTTTGTCGTAAACAATCGCCTCTAATAATGCAGTAAACATCTGCTGACTTTAAAATAATCTCTGCACAAAATAGAAACTGGCAAAGTCCCATAATGCTCAGAGGAACTGCAGGATTAGAAGAATCTCCAAGTAAAATGGGCTCGCGTCCAAATGTTTCAAACGGGAGGCATTCAAAGTGCTCGGGGACTCGGGAGAAACGGGGCCAGCTGCTGACAACAACACTGACACCCGTGTGCTGGAAAAACATGAATGGACTAAACAACACCGGCAGGTAGAATGGGTGCGATTGTGTCGGGTAGGTTCTCTCTCGGCACACTTGAACACAACTCTCGAGTAAAGTGGAGGCTTCAGCTAAGTTTGCAGTTAATCGGCTTTGTGTGGAGAGAACAAATGCCGTTTTGTGACACAGGGCAAATGGGCGATTCTAACTCACTGGCTACACTATTCACTAAGTGGTCGCGTTGAATCGGCAGTAACAAAACAACAAACTAATGATTGCGGAAGCAGCATGAATAAGGGGCAGATGATTACCGTCATATCTGTCATGGGGACACTGTGGTAGATTTATAATCATTTGATTGAGATATTGATGTGCATTTGTTTTCTTCTAAGGGTACGTCTAATGCAGTGGTTGTCTGTGGAGGGACGTGACCCACAAATGTCTGTCTACAGGAATGTGTCCTCCTTTCCTTTGCCAATATGGAGATAGCCAAAGGAAACTTCCAAGATGAAATAGACAAGACATTTAGTTTTAAAGCCTGACGTGCAACAGATGGAACACCACTAATTAAATTATCCTCACATCTCCAGTACTCGACAACTTGATTTGCATACGATTAAACACATCAGGAGTTGACTGAATACAAACTATTTGCCTCTAAGGTACTCTGGAGAAATTCAATCAAGAGTGATCTAATTCGTCTGGATGTAGAATGATTAAGCGTGTATTCTCTTGCCTCCGGGAGGCCGTTTTTTATTATTATTTGATAAGAAATGACAGTGAGCGATTCTAACAGGTGCATGGAGTAGGAAACAGGAATAGCTCCACAGGACACACACACACTTGTGAGTGCATAATCTTACAATTTACGTGACGCACAACAAACAGGACCACGTTTAGGGTCCACACTCACGTTTTAAATACGGCTCTTTTATAAATGAACGCTCACGCACAAAGAGCATTAAGAGGTACGTCAAACTGCTGCAATAAAACATCAAAAGAGAAACACGTGTGTCCACATTGAAAGAGCGATAGGGAATAAGAAAACAGCTAAATCTGCCATCAGTTCATTTAAATTATTTTTTAATACCATGCCCAAATATTATTATACTTTATTTATAATAAGCTGTGTAACTTTTTCTCGTGTTAACTATGTGCAATATGTTATACGTCGTCTGGAAACTAGGGTCATTATATTGACATTACATTTTTTTTTTTTTTTTTATGTACTTAGCTTGTGGTTTCTACTAAACAATAACAACATGTGAGGTGTGTATTTTACATTTCCAAAAGCGCGTGCCGGACTGTGTGGCCTGTGTCTAAGGAGGCAGGCACGCCCAACAGCTCCAATGGGACTCACTGTCAAAATAAAACAGCTTCAGCTTTAATATGAAAGCTTCATCATGTGGGCCAAGGAAATATCCTTTGAGGATTATTTCATGACTTAAATACTAATTAAAATTGAAGCAATCAATCAGGGGTTTACTGATATATATAACCGTCCAGTCAATAGAGTTTGGGTAAATGGCATTGACTTAAGTGATTTAGCATGCTTTCCATGAAGTATGTATTGATCACTGCAGTGTGTGTGTGTGTGTGTGCGTGTGTGAGAGAGAGAGTTCACCTTAAAGTATCCTAAACTATAGTAGCCTATGAACTATGCAAAATCCTGGACATTTACACAAAATAATAAGTAATACAGTCTCATCAGGTATCGTTTTGAATGAACCGTGTCGGCAAAAATAGAAAAGCATAAACATGGAAACGCACACACGTGCAGAGGGAGAAAGGCATGAATCACTGGCGGCTGGTCCCTCGCTCTCTTTCTCTCTTTCATGTGCTGATGAAATGAACCGCTGATGTACAACAAGTGTGGCGTAAGCACGCAAATCTATTTAACCCTTTTAATCACCATTCAGCTGAACTCAAATGATGTGGGCTGGACGGCTTTGAAACGGATGGCATGAATCTTCGGTCTTGTCCGTTCATCCCAAATGAAAGAGGTAAAGAATTAAGAACCTAAGAACTAAGTACCGTTCTACACAAAGAAATCTAGTAGAAACAGGATTGGAAGTCACTCATATCTTTCAGAAAGAAAAAAAAAAACTAATTGCATGAGAGAACATGGTGAACTAGGTGATGCTCAAAATGACCAAATTGGGCTAAAGTCATCTCATTCCCTGCAGCCACCCTCCTAATCAGGGCAAGCTATTGAGCCCGGTGAGAACTTAAAGATCAGTCACTGCGTATCCGTTACAGCTCCATGCTCCGCCATTGTGTTTCCTCACAAGTAGGGGATTAAACTCAATTGGATTGGATCCATTTGAATATTTGCAAAACACTAAAGCGTGCCTACAAATGTGATTTTCCCCCAGAGGTGCAGGAGAATCATTATCCATTTCCCTTAGCTCTACGGAATGTTTTAGCAACTTGCAGCTTACCCAAGATTTGTTTTTCCGCCATGAAAATGAACTGTTTTGGTTCACATCTCGAAACAGCATATAGGGTTTACTACTACATAGTGCAGCATTTAGCAACTTAACAGCCAGCATGTTTATAACAAGGGTTGGTAGAGACCAAACACAGAGTATGTTAGCCATAACTAACGACTGTTGGAACTTGTGAAGTCAGACAGAAGCAGAAAGTAAACACAACCCTCAATTACGCTCAAGAATTACGAGAATTTGTATCTTAATATGTCGTTTGTATACAATCACCGCTGTATTGTGAATTGTAACAGAGAGAGAGATAATTAAAGAGAAAGAGATAGAGAGCAGTAACAGAAGCCTGCTTTTGCAATCAAATGTCCCTTTTTTTGGCGTGAAAAAAAGCCAGCAGGGCTTAGTATGCACTGAGCTGACACTCTAATAAAGCAGGGGGACTACTCCAATCCAGCTGGATAAAAGGCAGCATTAAACTTGTCTTTAAGAACTGTAAGCGCTAAGTGGAAAGTCGTAACGGTGGTTGTGTGCGGCGCAGGAACGTGCGTGTGCGCGTGGTGTTCACGGGGTATCTGTAATGGGGGGCTTGCCTTCCCATGTGTCCCAAGTGTTTACGGATTTATCTCTGTCATACAACCAAATTGGTAATGCTGGTGGAAGTGCGTGTCCATGCGGCGTACCTGTTCAAAATGCGGAAAGGAAGGCTCCCTCCTGTGAAGCTGGAGCTGCTTGTCAATGTTGTCCTTCAGACACTGACACACGCGGCGCTTCTGGTCCGCTGAATAGGCTTCGAGGCTGAGCAAGCAGTCGCACTTCTAGAGAGGGGGAGAGAGAGAGAGAGGGGAGAGACAGCAGGCAATTAGGCATCTACTGTCAAAGGAGAGAAGAAGAGATGTCTCCTGATCTCCGGCGGTGAAAGGATTACAGATGGGGAGAGCACAGGAGCGCACATTGGAGGATTGGACTAAAAACTATGAATGCAAAAGAATGAATCAAACTCTGCAGCGTCAGTACAGTGTCAGAGGTGCGGTACTACTGTGTGTGCGTGTCGCAGCATATGAGCATGTTGTGTGTCTGCAGTTGTCATCTGAACTTTGTCTTCACGACACCACGGACTGTAAAGTGGTAAAGGCGCTAGCATTAGTGAAATTGGATAATGGGCTGGTATCCACTTCAGGCAGAATCTGATATGCTGACAAAACGATTACCTGACCGATGGCAAGATGGCACTCTTAAAAGAGCTTGAATCAATACACCGCTGCTGGGAAATATAGGAGAATAAATATTTAACACGCAGCGGTTAACTTAGACTTGGCCGAGCTTGATCAAATAGCCTTTCACTGAAAAAAGGACATGAATGTCCCTCGGCTGACTCTTCAGAACATCCCGAATCTGTATTTGATCTCACTGATGTCCAGATTAAATCTCCATTAGTTTAATGGGTCTTTTGGGTTTTTGGTCATGATCCTAGCGATGCACTTTTGATAAATGACAGCCCACATGGATCCTTTATATAGTACACAAAACGCACTTATGTGGATTCTTTGCTCAAAATTTTAATTTGGCTTCCCAGAAGACCTCTTAAAGGAGGACATTTCCTTTAGAGCGCCAGTGGGAGTATGATATCTAGGATATGAACATGTTGTCCCGGTCAGTGTAATTTTAAGTCTGGGGTTCATTCTGTTTACACTGGATTCATAAACATACATATGTATTTAACAATATGGTCACGTAATTGCATTTTATCATGATAACATAAAATCTGTGGTTCTCAGGGTGCTAACTAACAATTTTTCACCCAAGTCATCATTGCACTCAAACATAAACACTCACAACTGCTCTGATCCACATTTCTGCATCTTCGCTTGAATATTGTTGTTATTCTGTGCTTCTCTGATTAAAGAACAAAATGAAAGGAGCCTTTTGTGCACGACTCACGAGTGCATTTGCCATTTCTTTGCTTTCCAATTTGATTTGAATTCCCATCTACCTGGGTTGCTTTGCTTCCGGCGGTGTCGGGGAAAAACATTTGTATCCTGACATTTTTGAGCAGGAGTCAGGCTAAAAATAGGAACTTTCCACTTTGTGCAAGTCTTGGGAGATCAACTGGAGTCCTCTGGGCTCTCCTTGGCGCTCACCGCCCGGGTCAGTGGTGAATCACGATGCTACTTTCTGTGACTGTTCCCTGGCTGCGTGACATGTTGTGTTGCCATCTATAAGACTGGCTGTCGATTTCAATGTCACTCAATGTCGTGCTGATGATGGGGATGCTGCTGTTCTAGGTTAGAATGGCAAAAGACGTTTGGTGGATAAAGCCTTGTCAGTGTTAGTGACGCTAATGCAGGTTAAAGGGCATTAAAGTCTGCATTGATGGCATCGATGTCTAGACAGCTTTGTTTTGATGCAGCATAGAATGTACTGCAGGCAGAACCGTTGACTATTAAGGAGAAGCGGAACATATTATTTAGTTTTTTTCTCTTTTCCTTCGTAAGTATATTTTGCATATTGGAAAAACAACAGTAAAATACTCAGAAAAGGGGAGGGAAAAAAAAGACAAAAACAAGATAGAGCAGCGGCTGGTATTGTAAAAGCCAATGGAGCGTGACTATTTTCAATTGTAGCGCAAGGTGATGAGATCGGGGCTTTGTCTGAACAGACAGAAATCAATGTCGATGTTCTTTGGTATCCGTCATTCGGACTGTATCAAAGTCTATAAGGGCGCAACAGAGGCCGTAATATATGAAACAAATGCACACGCATGGTTGAACACTTCAACGTAAACAACCAGCCGGGCAGGCAGGCGCTTATGATATTGCTGCCAGTGAGAATGTCAATTTTTTTCAAGATTATTTCTCTACGGGTCAGTAAAGGTCAGCAAACCTCTTCAAACCACTGAGAGTAAAGCAGCGAGGGCATCAGCACGACAAAGCAGCAGGATCGGTTTTCAATTAGCCTGTAAAATATCTCAACATCAAAGACACTCGTGGTTCCGATATGACCTGAATGAATTCTGCTAATAACTTGACTTTTGCTTCATCATCCGATCAAGAATGAAGATTGAAATGACATTTTAACATTTTAATTGACATATTTTTTTTCTTTACTTAGCCTAGGCATTAGCTGGTGAGTTTACATCATTTGATTCCCCGGTTGCCTAGTGACAGCAAAGCAACAGTACTTATGCAATCACTAAGTCGAGATGCAATCTGAATTTGTATAAAATAAAATAAAAATGGTCACAACACAAGCCAACTCAAATTCAATCATGTGATGCTACTGACACTTGTTAATTCCAGAAATGAAACAGGCATGTAACGCAACACCTTCCAGTAGACAACACACACGCACACACACACAGGCACGCAAGCACACACAAACAAAATTTAAAATGCAAATGACAGATTTATTTTTAGAGAAATCCCATCAACCATGGAGCAGTCCAGGGGCCCAGAGGCATGCATGCACCTGCATGTTTCTTCAGTCTAGGTGTGTCAATGTAAGGCCCACACATACTGTAGTCCACTAATACGGCACATTTTGTTTTTAATAAGGAAAGAAGGAGGAGAATTAAGAGAGTAATAACAGATGATGGCAGTTGTAGAGAAACAAAGAGGCCACTCTCATTGTGAGTACGAACAGCATACATAATATCTTCTAAATGAGTTGCTTGATGCTTTGCAAGAAAATGAGGATTTATTTGTGTATGTTCCTGTTCTCTCTTGTTTACCATTGTTCCACATGTTTGCGCTGCTTAACTCTGCGTTAAAGCATCCATCTAGGATAGTTAGCCGGACAGTGACTTGCGCATTGCATTGCATTGCATCGGTTGAAATAATCAGTCATGCCGGCGAATGAGAGAACTGTTGACACTTAGTTCGCGGAGCCAGCTGGAGCTCTCGATACTGCAACGCTGCAGGAGCAGCTGTCTCTTAGTCTGGAGCACTACTTCTGTGACACATTGAGTGTGTTTGTTTTTCTTTCACGGTTAAAGAAAAATTACAAGTTACTTTAAAATCACATTCATTGCAATTTAATAATCTACATCATATTCACGTTGGGACCGAATCGTCTTTAATATTCGGATTGTTTTGAAAGGAATCCGCTGGAATCCCCCTGACTTTGTGGAAGCAGCTCTTTGGGGATTTTCATGCTAAAGTCACATTCTTTCTTGGCATTTAACAGCATCCGGCCAGTAACAGAGCGCTGGAAAACATAAATTACCCGTGTCCAGGACAAATTTAAATTTTTCAGCTTAGGCCGCCACGTCCTGTCCTAAATAAAGCCCCTTATTATTGGAATAATAGAGGTACTATTTACCTTGTTTATAAAATGACATAAGGAACTATATTAGCTAAAAAAGCTAATGCTTACGGTCGCTTCTACTAGTTCATCCCCGTTTATAAAATCTACCCATCCAAGAGATAAACATGGGAGCTAATGAAACAAAATTCAATGAATGGCCACTGGCCTGCCATGGAGTGGCTAAAAATACAGGCCGCATTTCCCCTTAATCAGATTGTTTAAAGTGCTCCCTGGTTAAAGTCCTCCCCCTGAGCCATCTGGCAGACGCGCATTCAGTGTGTCATTGGTCTGCTGTCAACACGGCTCACCTGACTCCGCACAGGTTAGCATGGTTTCAGTGACAGCTAATTCACCTAATACTAATACATGGGCATGCCGGCTTCATATTATCACACGGCTGGCTACTAATGAGCCAATTATAGTGGGGGGGGTTTCATGTGGAAAAGATTGCATGTAAATCATCAATGTTTACCATGTTGACACTTATAAAATACACTCATTTGTTTTCATTTGGAGGTTTCTTTCTGTGTGCTAAATATGAAGCAGCTACCAGCTGATTGGTTGAGATTATCTGACAGACTTGAAGGAGTTAAATACCACAGTATTTCTCAAAGTGAGTGGGGACTCCCTGGAGTGGTCATGATGCTTCCAGGCTTCAGTGGACAACTTGTTATTTTGTTTTTTGGAACCGACTAAGCAAGGCAATTCATTTTTGGTTGTTTTTTTGCCAATGGACTTTATGCTCATGACTTTATGCTCATGACTTTATGCTTCATGCTGAAGATAAACTAATCCACTGCTGGCTGTAGCTTCCAATTTAGCGTTAATATTTTTAGCTAACTCTAGCAATTAGGCAAACTTTACAAAATGATTGAATTACTGCATTGAAATAGAACCTTTCATAGATCTTTTAAGGCTGTTTTTGCAGGATATTTAAGCATGATAAGAACCAAGATATCCGACGATAGAAATTGATTTGTTTTCAATGTATTTGTGACGCTTAAGCAGCTGGCTGACTTTTGTTACAATAGGGATTACTTAAAGTAAATATCGACATCGGCCGCTAAAACTTTCCTGTAGGACAAAAAGCAGGTTAAAGCTTCTGCTCTTATGCTGTGAAATATTGCAAAATCTCCTGGCACGCACAACATTTTGTAGAAACAAGGATCCCATTCATACGTGTGACGGAATCAGAAGGTCTGTAAAGTTCAGAGTAATGGAGGCCAAGTCGGATACTCCTGCATAACTGTCTCATGACTGTCATCCCTAAACCTGGGAGTTTATATAACCAAAAATAAATAGCTGGGTTTGAGTGTGTTCCTTTCCACTCCAGTTGGAAACAATAAACAATATAGTGCAAAATGTGTTAAAAACAAGGTTTAGGTTTAGGATTACTAACTGTCAATACATTTAACCACACAGACAAACAAATGCACGATTTATGTTCCACGAGAAAAGAAAAAATGGAATGTCTCCCAACTTGGCGGCTTTCCCACACTCTTTCATCTATTTCTAGTTTGTTTTCTGTGGTTTCCAGCTGAGAGCTCTTCTGTGGTTTGCTCGGACGAAGCAGCCATGAAAAGAGCATGTAAGCTGGAGCCGTTGGCCCGTGGAGCTTCCATTAGCCACCGGGGAGGATGATAAGCACATGACGCTGCCAAGGGGAGCTTTTCTGAACTCCTATACTGTTTGCAAAATGTTTCCTCAGTCACTGCCTATTTTTAATAGTAGCTTTAATTAGTTGTGCATGATTTTTTTCCCCGTTGTTGTTGGTTTTCTTCGTCATGACCTTTACAGAATCAGTGCATTCGTCAATCCTTTGGTGCTTTCTTTAAGGGATGCAGTGGATAGCTGAGCTTTGGGTATGTGTCTACACTGAATACCTATCTGATCTCAGTATTCAGGTCAACGCACATAGTTTGCATTCAGTGTGTGACTTTTAGATTTAGCTGGGGCTAAACGTATTCATTAGTGCTCATCATACGAGTTTAATGTGGTAAACTTTGTTAAATACTGTTGGTAAATATACACCTATGAAAACGTGAGCTCTATTAGTAAAAGAAAATGAATAATTCAGATGCTGGTTACCATTTTTCCTGCACTTGACAGATTAGAGTGGCAAACCACAGTTTGGTGCAGCTCAGGAGAATTCTTTCATCACTGAAGTTGTTGGCGGTCGTAGATCTCAATGCAATCACGCTGCAAAGATGGAGCTCTTTAGGTGACGATAATCAGACGTATTGCCCCTGTCACTGCACTGCCGCCAATCTCCGCTGGTGTGTCAAATCAGACAGAACGCAAAGTCACCTTTCAAGTTACGGGGGCCAAAACGACATGGCGATGTCGTGCATGGCGACCATAAATTTAGTATTATGCTGACGAACGCCCCTGTGTGCGTATCATTCACAGCCGGCCTTCACCCTACGTCACGCAGTCAATGATGTGCCTGAACGTAGGGATTAACTCAGAAACGTAGACTGTGTCATACACACACACAGACATTTAACACCAAGGGAAATATGTTGGAGAAGTCTTGTTCCTCCCAAAAAAGCCTCAACATGGAGTCTTCTCTCAAAGTAATCAAATGCACAATGCGCCATTGTTTACCTCGTCGAAGAAAGTCACCTTGACGTCAGCCTGCGCAACAGAGATCACCGCAAACTTTTACCCCCCGTTTAAATAGGCGACTCATTTGTGTGCACAGCTTGACCACAGAGGTCGATGCACCCAGGCCCTCGCGCTGGTTTGTCACCTAGTCGGGCTTTAATGCTCTGCGTTTGCTGCCTGTCGTCTCATCTCTTCTCATCCACCGCATCCTCTGCGTTGTTTCAAGTGCACTAAAGGTGATTCGTTTCCAGCCTGAAACTGTTCGTGACTACTGACCAGTGGGAAGAGATTAGTTGTGATCTTATGCTGATGACTGTTTAGTGATCCCTGCATTGTGTCTTGCGGCTACATTGACAACTGAGGTGAAATGTGATTAGTAAGTGAACAGGCAGTTATTGGAATACTCAGCTTTCACTGAGAAATTTACACATCAACACAGGAACCATGATCAGAAGCACGTGAAAGCAGCACATTTTGGTACTGTCCAAAATCAGCACTAGCACATAAGATCGCTTTGGAAAGATCAAAGTCACCTCAGTGCCACAAATATTTAAAATATACATCTGACATAATGTCCAGCCTGCCTGTATGCAAATAACTTTTCTATCCCACTCAAGACAGTAAGAACCATTCTTTCAATGGATTTCTTTTTTTTCTTATCAAGCTACAAAAACACCGCGACCGTTTCTGTTCTCGTCGTATCATGCAGCCGCACAGCGAGAACGACACATGTCCCCTCGTCTACAGCGTGCGAATGCTCCGCCAAGCCCACCCGTCAATCAGTAGGACTTACGTCTCCGCTGTCAGACAGCAGGTGCTTCTGTAGAGAGTTCGCCTCCCTAATGAACCTTTTCTTAGGCCCGACCCGGTCCGCCAAGTTGCCCATGACGACTCTGCGATGACCTCGATTCACTCCGATGCGCGATGATGGCACGCCGCGCCACTGTCTCCTCGCCGTCTGTGTTTTTGGTTTACCTACACAAGGCTTTCTTGCCTGCTCTCTTCCTGCGTCACTGACACACTTACGCACGCCCTCAACTTTCGAGAAACACAATTTCAAACCCCCCCCCCCCCCCCCCCCCCACAACGACACACACCGACACACACACAGTTTCACATGTAAATCTGGGTTAGATCAGTACCGTTTTGAGCGAGCCCTAAAATAGAATGACCTCCAGTGATGGAGAAGAAGGGCAGGAGCAGACAAAAGGAGGGGAGCGGACTGTGACGGCGTCCCAATTGGAAGAGGAAAGGAGAGAGATTTTCATCCCTCACTTCTATTTTTCCTTCCACAATCAATGCTAACGTCTTTTAAGTTAGCATAGATTGGGACAATACGTCTCCCCACTTCTCTGTGTGTGTGTGCGTGTGACCTTTGTAGAGACAGACTAGAAAGAGCAGTTCAATACATCCATCACATGATACAGATTTATTTTTTCTGTGAACAACACACACACACACACACACACACACACACACACACACACACACACACACACACACACACACACACACACACACACACACACACACACACAGAAGCGGAGAGGGACAGGATCACTTAAAAGTGAGCCTGCCTCTCGACTGCTCTTTTCCGCTCTCCTTCTCTTTCATCCTTTTGTCCGTCCACACAACTGCATGTCCTACGAGCAGGACTAGAAGGTCAACCACTCTGTAACTCTGTCATCACTTGAAGATAAATGAGCACTGCAGCCGTTTGGCAGCTGCTCACACTGACTTTGGGTATAAGCTGTATCCGCGGGAAGAGAAGCATCTCCTACATCACCATTGAGAGATAAGAGCCATAGGGCAGCTTTCGGTTATGGCTACCGTTTGCTCTCTGAGGTATGAAATTAACTGCTGACAGGTATTTCAAATACAATAGATGACTGCACATTTAGTGTGTGTGTGTGTGTGTGTGTGTGGGCAGAATCTGTCAAGATGGAAAGATGAACGAGGCTGAGCAAAGTAAATCTTAACTGGGGGAAAAATGCACACACGCTCTATTTGCTGTTACTCTGTTTACCTTGTCTGTTCGCAAGCGGATATGCTGCACTAGTTTGGCATTTTGAGAGCCACAGCTGACTTATTCTTCTAGAGAACCGACGTCAAACTGTCTCTGGTCTCCTCTGCAATCACTCTGGTCTGCCAATAAGAGAATTATTTGGTCATATACTCTTATTTACTCTTTTATACTCTCACATATGCATTTATGTAATCTTTTGTGCTGCAGGACTCAAATACCCTCCAAGGGCAAACACAAATAGCAATCAAACAATGTAAACAAATGCGTGCGAAAACGTACAGGATTAAGAAGTATGATAGTGTATAAAAGTCACTGCAGCGAAGACCATTTAACTTGAGCTGAACTAGCAAACGCTTGTTTTGTGTCGGATAAAACCCCAAATCTGCCTGTAACTCACTTAAAGTCTCTCAATTTCTCTCATTGGCTGCCTTACGTAAGGTTTTCTATTTATATACACCACCTAATTGGATAGATAGAATAATATTGGAGCCTTTTCCTTCCTCTTTTCCAGCCTGGCGGAATAGACATCAGGCCTGTCTCATTCTGTCTGGAATTTCTGAAAAAAAGGCCCTTTGAAATATTCATAAGCCGCTAATGAGGTTATGCAGCAGATTTCGAAGGAAAAAGTAGCGCAACAATGTGTGTGTGTGCAGCAGAAAGGGTTGGGGTTTATATCTGCTCAGTAAAAAGATTATCCACACAAGCAGACATTTGCAGTTGCAAGAAATTGCAGAAGAGTCAAAATGGCCGGATGGGTAAAAACAGGCTCTCGTAGCTATCCAGGCATTTAAAAGCTCCCATTTCAATAAATGGTTTCCTGTGGGCCAGAAAACCACGATCCTTTGCTCTATATCTTAGGGCAGAACTGTATGAGCTGCGCAGATTCACAAGTTGTATTAGGAGTTGATGGTTATAGCTTCCATTGTTGAGTATCAAGGAGGCTATGGAGAGTACTTAAGGTATCAATCCCTCATAACCCCCGTATTTGGGACTAAAAATAGGGAATATTAATTCAGCTTCCACTCAAAATGTTTGTCTCTACCTTGTTGGCCAACAACAAAACACATCTTTAGAATTTAAGCAGTGGAAAGGGGGAGGGGGGGGACGCTGAAGAGATGGGGGAGGGCAAACAATGACCATCACCTGCTAAACTTACTCATTAATTGCAGCAGGGGCTGCCAGGAGAACATAACAATATGGAAGACGACTGGAAAACAGCCAAACCGTCTCTAAACTTGCTGTGTGTGAACTTGCCTTGTGCTAAAAACATGTTTTAATACCCTCAGAGTTCAGTTGTGGCTGTATATTTTTTTCATACAGCTGTGCCATTTCAATAAGCCAGTGTAAGAATAACTGGTGAAAACCGCGATAAAATATTAATTATAACACCTAATCCCTTTCATCTAGAAATGACAGCCTGCGAGGTGTGACAGCAGATGGAAGAAAGGATGAATATTATTACAACAATCTTTGGGCCACATTGTACCACGGCCTTATTTACATTGAGGATTATTTTATACCTGAACGCATTTTCAAAATAATAATATTTACAGAATGTGCTTCTTTGGTGCGATTTATATATAAAAAAAAGCATCATAAACAAATACAGTGTGGGAGTCAGAGGACACACGGAGAAAAGACGTTTCCATTAAAGAAGCTCTCTGCTAATCCACGTCCCTTTAATGTGATTTCCTCTGGAGTCGATTGCCCCTGCGGATCACATTAGACCCTCAAACACACACAAACACAAGCCTTTCTCTTACCTCGGTCATGTGGATAAGGTAGAATCTCAACTCTTCAGCGTAGTCTGTAAACAAAGAAGCAAAGGCTTTAATGTTACGTACCACGCAACCACGTTTCCTGTGTTTCATTTCCACTCACTTCCTTTTTGTACACAACGAAGCGTCTTTGATTTCCAATTATGATCTCGCCAGAATACTTTTATTGACGGAAGGCTTTTACTTTAGGTCAGCCTCATAGGCATACACCCATAATTCACTGAAGTAGTTCTCTGTAAGACAAGCCTGTGGGTTGGGAGTCAAGATAAATGGTTTTAATCGACTGAGCCCCCTTCCCCCTGCGAGACACACACACCCACAGACACACATGCACTCAATTATACACTCACACAGTCCTAAGTGTACACACAAGGTAATATTCTGAGTGACACTGAATATTACATTGAAGAGCGGTTTGGCATGGGTGAGATTAAAACTAATTAAGGATCATCCGTTTATACCTACATACCTCCATTCTCCCCGAGCCCTGAATCCATGTTACATTGCAATAGAGGAGTATTTATCCATCGGTCTATGACCCACAACCTAAATTAGGAAGCCAATTTAAAGAGTAACTGGCCCTATTCTGGCCCTACAATAATACTATATGTATAATTTGTGATCGAGTTTGCTCCCCTAAAAGTCTGATGGGGAAAAGCATTGCATCATAGTACGTCCGCTGATATATGGTAGTTTGTCAATTGCAAGAAAGAGCAAGGAACTAACTGAATGTAATCTTCCCTGTATGCTTTCTCAGAAGTGATTGCAAATATTGCAAAAAAAAGGGTTAGGGTTAGGGTTGCGTAGCCAGACTAACAACACCAATCCAGTTTTTCCACAAAAAAAGTGTATACAAATCTGTATATGTGTATCTTGCACGTGTCTAGCGTGAAGGAGCCGAAATGTGTTCATCTCATAACCGTGACCTCAAGCCCCTCCCTCTTCTCTCCGACCACCGCCAGCAGACAGCAGCCCCCGCAGGCGGCTCCTGGCCGGTTTGGTCTGTAAGCTTACTCGGCTGAACAGGAAGGGGTTCTTTTTCATCGTCGACAGCAGAGGTCACTGTTGCATGTCTTACTCTCCACAGCCTTTCACGGCATGAGTCTGTGTTAGTTTGAACTTAAAGAATGGAAACGTTCCCTGACGTGTCCATATTTTCCAAAAAAAACAAATTTACATATTTGTTCTAAAAAGTATAATCTTACATGTAAGTATTTTCTGATAATAGAGGCCTTCCGATGTGTCAGAGGTGTAGTCATTTTGGTAAACCCCTGTCCCTCAGAACCACTTCCTGTCTCACTTGAGGACAAACAGCAACAAAGTAGAACAGTAACAACTTGCTCTGCAGCTATTTGATAACTTTCCCAATGTAACATTTAGCAGAGCATTTTAGTTTTAACGGTCCCGTGTCTATGGAGCAGTAGCCAACAGAAGGCGTGATAAGGTCATGTCGATGGCCTGGTGGGAGACGTCTTCTTACTCAGTTCAGTATCACAAATATTTAACCTGTCAAACGGTAAGCTGGGTTTTATGCGTGTTAAATACAACTCTCAATGTTTCCCACGCTCCTCGACCTGGTATCAGGATGACAGGAACACAGGAAAGCTCCTGTGTTGAACTCGTACTGGGTCGTTAGATGCACGCACGCACATACGCACACGCACACGCACACGCACACACACACACACACACACACCCTTGCTGAAACAAACACAATCCTCTGGCGCCTCTTTCCTGAGTGACGCCGCCGAAGCAAAATAACAATGACAGGCAGCAGGGTAGAAAATGTGTGTGTGTGTGTGTGTGTCCCATCATGAAACACACACATACAAAGCCTACTGTATCCCCACCCTGGTGCTCTCCCGATTGTTTGGGTGAAGGGTGGAGGTCAGAAGTGGCTCGAAGGAGGCCAGCTATGTCTGTGGGGAGGGCAGAGCAGCTCAGGCCAACCGATTTGAAAACGAGTGTTCATCAGATGGTAAACAGTTCTTATATATTCCTGTTTGTTTATGTGCAAGTAATATATCAATATAGTATACAATATTGAGTATTTTAAACTTCTGTTGAAAATAGTTTGACTCAGCGGATATGCTTACAAGTCATTATATACTAATAAGGCAGAAAGTATGTGTACATTGGAGCTATGTAAGTATGGACTGAACATAGGAAATATGTTATTACATTTCCTGAAGTGTTGGGCAATGGGAGAAACTTTATCCTATCCTGGCATATTGAGAATTCATTTAATTGGGTACTTTAATTTAAAACTACTGACCTGAACACAACGCTGCCATTACTGGGCATAAGTCATTAATCTGGGGGACGAAGCAGACAATCTCTTACCCCACTTATTCTGTTAATTCAGTGCCATTATCTTCTCTAAACACAGATATTGTGAAGGAGCCCTATTTATTTGACTTGCCCAGAGCTCTATGTGCTGCAGATGGCCAAGCTATTCTCTCCATATTGCTAGAGGAGATGGTTGTTTACAAAGAGGTGAAATAAAAAGACAAAGTAACAGGAACCCGGCTGGTCTTTCCCTAAATATCCTTTGGTTAAGCTCAACCAAAAATATCGCTGTCATCACAGCACTGTGTGTTTATTTATAGTTGTGCAATCTGTGTGTTTGGGTGTTGCACTTCCGTCTTATAGTTTGTATTGAACTATAAAATTGGGAGGCAAATGTGGTTTAACACGGTAACAGATAAGACTGTTTGGAAATACAGTGTATTTACATGATGCACGTTGGCTCCATTTCGTGTAGTTTTCTGACTTTTAAATAGATTTGTGGCAGCATGAATTCATAATCCACATCTCGGACACCTAAGAACAAAAATGAGGGATTTGTTAAAGCGCACACACCGTCCTGGAGCCTCAGCTGCCGGAGGAACAGGGGACTCTGAAGGACGTTACACCGGCCTGGCTCATCTTCTCGTGTCACCAGCATCAGATCACTGTAGACGAACACTGTCACCTGCAACAAACAAGGTGCAAAAATCAGAACTATACTGAATTCAACACTGGTGTCTCACATGTAAAAAAAAAAAACCATCTGTATTCCAGCGAGATGCACATCCACTAACAAACACTTAACAAGTCTCACCCATGCAGGTGCTTTTTCGCGCCTCATGTCCTCACACAGGAAATGCAGTTCACACTTACATACATATACAAAAGCCAGATCTTGCTTTTTAGCTTACCGAGTATTAATTCTATGCTATAAAGTGTACAGACTTTTAACCTTAGTTTCACCAGCTATTCAAATAGCAATAGCTGCCTGAACATGAACACATGAATGAACAAAATAAAATATGTCCAGTACATTCAATTCATAAGACAGAAAGGATTCTAATATACATATTCATTCATCATCAACCACTTATCCGGGGTCGCGTAAGGGGGCAACAGTTCCCCCAAACTTCCCTTTCCCGGGCCACATCTACCAGCTCCGACTGAGGGATCGCAGAGGGCGTCCTAACCAGATGCCAGAACCACCTCAACTGGCTCCTTTCAACCCAAAGGAGCAGCGGCTCCACTCCGAGCTCCTCACGGTTGGCTGAGCGTCTCACCTTATCTCTAAGGGGGACGCCAGCCACTCCCCTGAAGAAACCCATTTTGGCCGCTTGTACCCGTGACCGAGTTCTTTTGGTCATGACCCTTCCAACATGACCATAGGTGAGGGTAGGAACGAAAATTGACCGGTAGATCGAGAGCTTTGCCCTCCGGCTCAGCTCTCTTTTTGTTACAACGGAGCGATAGAGCGAGTACAGTACCGCCCACTCTCCGGCCAAACTCACACTTCATCTTCCCCACACTCGCGAACAAGACCCCCGAGGTACTTGAACTCCTTCACTTGGGTAAAGACACGTGCTTCTCAGACTCTTGTGTTAGGGGTGCAGTGTCGGGCCTCAACGTTTTCCTTTTGCTTCAGCTTCTTCTGCTGCTGCTCCTCCAGCGCTACAGCTGGATTAATGCTTTTTTCTCATTGTAGATTGAATCAAAATATCCCTGATTTTTGACTTTGTCAATGAGAACCGTCGCCTGTTGTTGAAGGATTTCACATTGTCTCCTTGCAACATCTACCTCCAACGTGTCCTGCTCATATTTTTATCCCTTTTTGTCTGCATACTTGAATACTTTTGAATGACTCCTGAAGGGTCATATTCACCTCGTCGTAGTTTCCAGGTGACTCAACTCGTCCCTGGTTTAAATCCAGCCAATTCATGATGTAATTTTCAGCCGTTTCTCTGGTTTGATGTTGGTTAAAATACTTCTGTGAACACGACAGAACTTCAGAACTGAGTTGTATCTGTAGGGGGCACTACGGAGACATTTCCTCACACCCAAATGCGAGCTCGCAAAAAGAATAATAATTAATAGCTCCACGATGAAGTCATTGCCAGGACTCTAATGAGTAGGTGAAAAAGGAGCCTAGATGTGGGCGTAAGAGCAGCTTATGGACATCTGTTCTTTCACGCCACATAACAGGCATACTCTCAATACAGCGCTTTTGCTGAGGTGGTTCCCTCGGAAGGAAGAGGTGGCAGAAAAGGTATTTCAGATGTAGCCAGCATGTGGCTGGAGTGTGTGTCTAAGACTGTGCAAGTTTGTGTAGGTTTGAGGGGGCGGAAGAGGATGTAAGAAAGAGTAAAGAATGAGGCCAAAGCAGATGAGGGGCGAGTGCACACATATATTACATTCACAAGACAATACTTGCATAAACAGTTGCACTTTTTCTTTGTGTTTTTGAGGAACCCTGTATCCTGTCCCCAATATACCGATGTATCCCTATCCACTGTTAAATGGTAACTGGCACAATAGAAAGGGCTTTCTACGTATTGTATTATCACATCAGCATGAATTTGATAGCAGGTTAATGAACCGTAAACGTGTGCTGTACACCATGACTTAGTTGTAAATATAAGTAGAAGGATTAGAAGAAGGAATAACATTTATAAACTGATTTAATTACTTGCATGATTACTCCATAACTAGATGTTGTGTTGTATAGCAATAGTAATCTACCAGGACATGTTTTTCTACTTATTAAGAATGTGTGCAACTTAATCCACCGTCGGTATGATGGTGAATTAGTTGAATCGGTTATGACCCAGTGACAAAGTTTATTATTATTCAATCAACTACATATTTCTGTTTTGTCCAAATGTCTCTTTAGATTAAATCAAATCAATGCTATGCTCATTATTTCTGTTCAGATATTATAATGTTTGAGTGAACAGTAGAGCTTGCGTGTTTGCTACCCGGGCAGGAACAACACTGACTGATCATTAAAAACCGCCAGAATAAAGCAGGGGAAAGAAACTCCCTCCCGACAAACACTGGCTGTTAAATATTTGTTTAATGAGCGACCTCAGCCAAACGCCAGATGAGCTTGAATGCCGGCAGGCACAGCGCCGCCCAGCAAAGAGGACAACCGGCTGACAGGACAACTCAAATTGATTCCATAAAATGTTCCTCTTTCCTCCTACTTTTCTATTTCCAAATGGTTCCTTGGAAAATACTAGAAAATAAATGTCACAGGATTCACTTACTCAAAAGACAGATCCCCAAACCTCAACTTTCTTCATCTAGACTTCCATCTGGACATGTCTATTATTTGGTTGTGATTAATTCACAAATGTTTCTTTTGGAGAAAATGTCCCTGAATGGTAAGTCAAGGCAAATATTTGTAAAGGAAAGCCCGGTAGATTAAGGTCACTGACAGTATGTAATGTACAGCTGTGCTATGTAATTAATTCTGTAAGAATGTATTGATGGACTGGTTCTTGTCTACAGGCCATAATCATTTATTTGAAGAATAAATCAATGTTAGACACATATAGCATGAAAGTACTTGCTACAGAAGAAACATCCTGTTACCATTCCTTTTGGCTGGCCGCTACTTAGTTGTAGATATAGTGCAACATATTGTACGGTAAACCTATTATAAAAGGATCTTTAATATATGATGAAAGTTTCTTTTCATACACAAAACATAAATTCTCCCTCAGTCAGATATTTGCACTTCTTTACTAATCAATTATTCATTTTCCTCCTTGATGGTTCAGAGGAGTTAAAAAGTCTTGTTCAATCGCCGCTCTCACTGCTCCTCTCTGGCTGCTGCTCGGTACGTGTTTTCCCTTTCTATGTACACGTGCACCGTTTGACTTGAGTTGCACATCGGGGCAATCGGCCATCACTTTGAGTTTGGCCCAATAGCTAAACTACATAACTGGTTGTGACAAAGCAACAAAATGTTTGCCACTGGTTAGTTCGTCTCCAACCTCCAGAGACCGAGGGGAGAAAAGAGGGTCTTTCAGTGTCACTCAAATTAAAAAACTCTTCAAAAGAAGAGGGAGAAAAAATGTTTGACCCATGTCCCATAATCCATTCATGTTCTCGAGTCAACAAAGACCAAGGCGCATATTGAACGACAATAACGCAGTGAAGCCACTTGCCTTGAGAGACTGGTGCTTGCTCTCATGTAGTATCATCTCCTCGGATATGATGAGAGATCGGCTGCACAGGTCGAGGGGCTGAAGATAAAACGCAAAACAGACAGATTAGGAAATAGAAATTACATTTTTGATGTAGCTTCCTGCCAGCACGTACTACCAACTACCCGCATGTATTGCTGGTATCATTTCCTGTAGGGTCAGTCGAAATTCTAAATACATTTTAAGCATTTAAAAAAAAAAAAAAAAAAGGGTATAATGTTGTGTCGGTTATAGAGGAGTAAGATAAAATACAAGGTTGCAGTACCAAATCCATTTTGGCTCCCGAATCCAAGCGATGTGCTCAAGAAAAAGCGTTGAGTTCACTGTGAAGTACAACTGAAACTGACTCTATGTAGAGAGAAAGCGAGCTGTGACTGAGAGGCCATATGTGTGATCTGAATATGACAGGACACTGACACTTCAAATGAACTAGTGTGGCAACGTAGGAGGCGCGGGGGGACTTCCTCCCAATTCAGTGTGTGTGTGTGTGTGCGTGTGTAACCATTGAATACGGTGAGAAGTAGGGTCGGGGTTACAGGCGTCTATGTGACTTAACAGGAAGCACCACCACCGTCGCTGCAAAGATTACAGGTTATAGTTAAAATAATATGAGCAATATCTTTAAATATTGCCGTACGCGCAAATACCATATAAAAAACTGACTTAACTCACTTTTACGCATTTGATAACACAACAACTATTATTACTACAGTATATGTCGCAAAAATAATGGCATTTCATTATGCAATGACTCACGTCATAACTTTGTTCCGCTTTCCACCGTGAGAGAAATACTTCTATCATCTTACCATCAAGAATGCGAATCATCGTACACCGTTAGAGGAAATAATTACAAACCAGAATACGCCCTTTCATTTGAGATGCCAGTGTATTTCCTTTTCACCCAGTAATACAGGGGAAAACAATTCCTTTTAAAATGATTGCATCATGTGCACCATTATTAATGGAGTACGCGTGTTTGACCACTGGAGACGGGTTTCCAAAGCATTCTGGGGTTCTCCAGTCGTGGTCTTGCATGCATTGAACAGTGAACAGTGGGTTTGCTTTTTTGCCGCATGAGAGAATCAACACCACTCCTTTGTGTTACACTTCATGTGAAGCTGCAGCCAGCATAGAGCAGTGGAAAAAAGGTAGCAGGGCTGCGTCCAAAACCGGCTTACCTGAACAAAGATGGGGAAGATCAGGATCTTGGGCGCCACTTTGACGTATCCGTAGTTGCCATGTGGAGTATGTGAGCGCACAATGGTACAGTTCTGGTAATTGGCGAAGTTGGCATTCTGCTGTTGGTAGTTGGGTCCGCCGGCATTGGTGGAGGTGGGCGCCGCCTTCGTTGTCTTGGAGTTGTTTGACCGGCGGAGGAAGCCAGTGCGGCTGGAGAAGCCTCCACCACCACCACCACCACTCATACCTCCGGAGAAAGCACCACCACCACCACCACCACCACCAGCCTGGGCCTCCTGTCCGGAGCCCTGCCGGGTGGGATATAGCCTGGCAGCTGCGGAAGTGAAAAATAAGGATGTGTAAAGACACAGATTAAATGTCATTTCTGGAGCTACTTGTGAAGAGTCAGAATTCCTCACTTTAATTTCCTTACAAAACGTTATCCCGTCGTGACCACGCTGACCTCGGGGGCAGCGCCAGCTGCTTTCAGTTACAAATGTTGCTAAAGTAATGTTTTTAGGCACCAAAGGAGCATCTTTTTCTCAGTGTGAATGATAGTGTTCCATAGTGTTGTACAAGACAGATTTAAATTTGTTGTATTTGCACGGTCTGTTCAATGTGAGACTATTCAGGGGGGGGGGCAAATGTCCACAGGGCGACCTCCAAAATAAGAGTCACTAACGGGGACTAGCTGCTGTATGAGTACGGACATGTCTTACCTAATGTCCCCTGGTTCTCTTGGTAAACAGGCCTTAAGATCTGAAAGTAGAATAACAACATTAATATTAAATAGGCTGGTATAAGCACATTGAAAACTGACATCTAAACTATGGAATAAAGCCACCATGATATTTGATACAGTATTACGTTTATTGCTAAACTGAAATGAACTATATTGATAGTTCTAATACAATTCTGATCTTAACTTTCTATGATGCGAAATCTGGACAGGAAGTGTTGCCACAAGACAGACAGTATATACCTGTTATAATAAAAAAAAATGTGTTCAAGGAAGGGATCGTTACGTGTATTTTCGAGTTTGGTGCCTGGGACTCGGCTGAGCCCTTTGCATTGCTCAGCGAAGCAGTGACGGTCTGTATGTGCCATAACAAATTGCTATCGATGGAGACAGTAAAGCTGGAATGGTGCCGCCACGTCACACGCAGATGCATCTAGTAGGTGAGCCGAGTCACAAATCCTTTTAAATATAGCTTTTCTGCTGGCTTCATTTGATCTGAGTTTCTGTATTGTGGGCTTTCCCAGCTCTTATGTGACATGTTACCAACATGACCGATTAGCGCACCCCCCCCCAAAAAGAAGAAAATGTAATCAAATCTCTGCCTCTTATTATGTTTGGGATTTTAGTCTCGGCTATTTGAAGGGGATGTTTTGTTCAACATGTTGGCAAGTCTTATTTTTTGGCGACTCCTTACACACTTTCTTTTGCCGTGCACTACATGAGCTGAACCTAAAACTGATGTTCACAGATGCGGACAAGTAAACACTACACGAGGCACACTTACACACACACGTAACACACATACACATACACACACGTAACACACACACAGACGGACTCACTCGCAATCCGACACAGAAAAAGACAATTTAACAATCTAACATTTAACTTTACTTTTAGTTGTACATGTGAAAAAAAAGTGACATAGTTGGTTAGAATTTACAGGCGACTATTTAGACATGGCGGGCTGGATCTAGATTGGACTGCTCTGTCTCACACACACATTGAAATGGTTGAAATGGTTAATGGGTTAGTATCATATTGTTACTTAGCTGGTTAGCTGAGGAATTCAGTTCAGTCTTTTTGATTTAATGAGTTTGCTTTATTTTGTTTTTATGATCAAAGCTTTTACCCCATTTACATGACTTCACCGGATGGAAAAAAATCAGTACATGCAGTAAAAAATGCATGTTGTATTAAAACTGCATATTGTGAGAACGACCACAATTGAAGTTCTGTTTTCGGTTCTTTCTTAAATGCCAGAATTATTTGTTATTACAAAACACATAAATGCTTTCTCTACTCTATATAATATCTGGAGGATACATTATGTCAGATACAAATGTATTCCTAATATAAACTAAAATGAAATAAAAGAAATATTGCCGAAGCTTCACCAAGTACAAGCATACAATATATTTTTTACAGCTACATATTATAATGTGTTATGTCTGGTCTTTTCCGTCCATCACCCCATATCTACATTACACCGACCTATATAAAATGGCACGCGTGTGTTCGCGACATGTGTTAAAGCACAAATCAGGGAGCTGGCATCAACCCAAATGGCCCGGACATACTGTTTGTACAGTCCTTCTATCTATGGGCACCAGGGATGAAAGGTAAGGAGACATATCTAGGATGAGCCACCATGTGACCGAGGTGAGGATGGGTGGGACGAAGAAGATGATGAAGATGCAGTCCACCACCAGTCTGCGGTACCTGGCTTCCGGGGTTGATGGGGGCCAGGATGATGTAGTTGTCCCCGTTGGATGCCTTCACCCTGGTGCCCTTCAGTGTGGCAGTGTGAGGATGGGGGAGGTGACGCGGCTGCATGTCCAGCTCCTCGGCAGACCCTCCCTGGGCCCCCCACCCGAGGGTCCCTGAGCCTAGGCCGCCGCCGTGTCCGGCTTCGGAGCCGTTGAGCAGCAGCCGTCGACTGCTGGCGCGGTGGTGGGCCGGGAGAGGCGGCACAGCCGGGGGGGTTTTGCTGGTTCCAACATCTGGTGCACGCCGGCGCGTGGGGGGCGAGGGGGCTTCATAGTTTGAGGCGGACGACTTATAGGACGGCCGATGGATGAGGCCCTCGAAACTAGGTTTAGCTGAAGGACCGGTGCGCCACACCACCAGTATGATTTCATTCACACTGTTCCTACAACGAGAAAGAAAACTAATGAGGTGCATGAGTATATATGGTACGTCTTCAAATCTGTCAATCAGCTGTCTTGTTTATGTTCCTCTAATCGATTCACAAGTCGACAAGTCAAACCTTATCTCTCAATAGGGAAAGAAAGGGATCAAACACGAACAATATAACAAGTATAATCATATCATATGTTGTTGACTGAATGTACTTGCCACCAATAGGAAGTTACCATCTCAACCCCCCACCATGAACAATCTACATTACCTGATAGCGTGGGCTAAGTCCATACATTTCCACTGCTCCACCGGCTGACCATTTAGCTGCAGGAGAGTGTCCAGCTGCTGCAGACCTGCCTGATCCGCTGGACCACCTGCCAGAAGGAAGAGACAGAAAAAAAAGAGACATCTGTACTATGCACGGGAGTGCCTCCTTTTATGTAATATGCTCCTTCCTTCATTGTTGTAGCAACAGAACGGCAAGCTACTGTACGTTAAATGAGCTATTTGATATTATGGTGCTCGGTTTTCTGAGGTGAAATTTAATTGGCATTTCCTTTCATCCCTATCATCATCTGCAAGCTTCAGCGTCTCGTTCGAAGACACCTTCTCTCATGGGCGCTTTACTCCAAGTGGTCATGTTGAGTTAAGTCCTGCTGAATGAGCCGATGCTAACGGGAACTCTGGAAGCAGCGGCCAGCGAAATGGAAAAATGAATCGACCAAAGGCAACGTTCGTGAAGGTGCCAAATTCATGTAAATCAATGGGAAAGAACAGCAACCGTAATCTATAAATCTATCATTTCTGATTCAAGCACCTAATATTATATATGTAGTACAACATTATCAAGCAACTTTCATATATGTTTTATTTAAACCCACGAGTCTCCCGACGGCAGTCCTCAGATTGAAAAACATCACACAATAAAAAAATTATTCAATCCACTTTGGTAGCGTAACCTTAAACGCATCAAAGTTGTTTTGAGAAAAGACAGTTAGGTTTCATTCTCGCATGCAAAACGTACCTGGATCCACACCCTGCACCCTCACAGGGGAATCCGAGCAGATGGTGAAGCCATATCCATCCTTTCCTCGAAGGATGGTCACCTGAAGAACACACACACACACATACAACACGCACGTTGACTTTATGACAGGAAGCTAGACCTCTGTGTCTCTGCCCCACTACCTGAGGAATTAAAAGTAGCATGCCGGCCAAAACACTCGACTTCCTTCCTACTGGACGATTAACTGGATTTTGTACTCAGCTTCTACTTCCTATTAAAACTGTCTCGACAGCAGTTTCCCGGGGAACCCAATTAGCTGGCTTCGTGGGAAAAACAACTCCGAGAGATGGAGGAAAGGCGTACTTTGTGTAGCAGTTGATAGCGGTTGATATTCAGAATCTACCGAAAGCACATTGCCCATTTATTTACACCTATACTTTAGAATAGTGTACGGTTGGTGAAAAAAACAAGAATAAAAAACACTAATTATGCTGTGAAAATAAAAAACGCATTCACCCACTAATTGTGTGATCGGTCGTGAGGTTCTTTAATGAAATTATAATGCATTGTGCGATTCAATTTTTAACACAAGTAAAAAGCTTTACAAAGAATATCAAAACACCTTTTTAAAACATCATCTCTGTCCAAATGTTATGACCCAAATACATACATACATACATATATATATATATATATGCATCGCTAAACATTCAGCACAGAACCTCACCCAAAGCCTGAGCCAAAGTCAATAATGTTCCGTCCAAAACAACTCACTTTCCAGCTCATCTGCTGAGGGGCCCAAACACACACACACACACACACACACACACACACACTAGCCCCAAATGTCAATTTTCTCTTCATTTCCCGTGCAAAGGAACACGTGTATGCGGGTGAATTACAGTCTACCCGTTAGCAAGATGCAGGGACTATAGAGAAATATGGTGATTATTCAGAGGCCTGAAGCTTGTGACGACCCTAAAATGTCGGATACGATCGTCGTTTCTTGTAGTCAGTTATGCGTCCTGTGTCACACCGTTTGCTCCACACTAGAATTCCCTTCCCCTTCAGTCCCCTGAAAAGCTCTCCGTTTTCAGTCCATCTCCAAAGGACACCGCAGACTTTTGTTACCTGTTGCACATTCAAAATCTATTTGAATTGTCTGAAACGTTGGTCTTAGATGCTGAGATCAATACCCTGCGCTGAGTGTATATCCTTTTAATAAAGACGGACAGGAATAAACTAATCGCCCTTGAGCCCAGCAGAGTCGGCGCAGATGGATGAAAAGGGGATGAAGGATGCTACACATTGGTAACAGAGGGCAGTGGGACTGGAGGCTGAGCAAATAGACAACAACACTGGAATTACGGAAGACGAACAACAAAGTCAAGCTTTCTTTGAAGATTAGCTTGAACTCTAATATGTTCTATCTCTGCCTGTGTGTCCTCATTGAAAGCCATTGTGTCCTTTTAAGGGAAGTCTCAGAGCTGCCTAATTTGCCGCAATTCATCCGAAATCCGGAACCTTTACAGCGTTAATTAAATTTGGAAGCATAGTTGAGTCCAACCACTTGGACTCCCGTGGTCCCTGAGGGAGACGCGGTCCCGTGCCTCTTTTTTTCCCCACTTCTGAATGAAAGAAGGGGGATTACATTCAAACTGGGAGAGAAAAGAGAGACCATCCTTGGAATAACACCCTAAGTCCTCATGGATGTTCTTTAACGTTTATTTTTCAGCGCATCAATCACAAAATCTATTACTGAGAATGACGCCCGATCTCCACCGCTAATAACATCCCTGTATTAACACTAATAATTCCCTTACGGATCTTTTTAAAATTGGCAAAATGTTGGTATTTGATAATGCGCGATGATATTCTATCATCTTTTTATAGAATATTCTTGCCGTTTTACAGCTGACTGCAGCGTTGCAGCTTTGATTGATCATGAAATCGAATCGATCCTTTCCAAATTATTTTCTAAAAGCACCGGTTGAATCTGTCGCACTTTTCTTCATTCTCCCAGTCTCTCACTCACAATCCCAGATTCACAACGCACACCAGAGGCCCCCCCACCGCCCCCTCCTCTCTGTACCACGGACACACCTGAGGCAGCCTACACCCGATGCAGAGGTGGCACAGCCCGTGGATGGTGTGCATCACACCTCCACCTCTTGGCCTTTCGCCGGCGTTCAGGTCGGCGGCCAGCACGCACACGCTGCGGCGGTGATCCTCCACCTGGCCCGCCCTCCGGCAGCCCGAGTACCTCCACAGCCTCCTCTGTGCCGCCGAGTGAGTGCTCCTGGGGCTGTGCTCCGACGGCTGGGCCGCCTTCAGTGTGTTATGAATCATCTCCACGGTGGCGACCGGGGCCAAACGAGCGGCCCCCGGGTGGCTTTGGTCCGGCGAGCGGGGGTGGTCGGGGGGAGAGGGGGGCGTTCAGATTGTGGCGTCTCCAGGTGACGGTCACGGCGGAGTTGTGTGGCTCTGGATAATTGTATCGCGTCTGGAAAAACAGACAGGAATCTGCCAGGTGTGACAAAACGCCGTCCTTGGAGACGTTGTTCAGCCCGACTGGCCTCTTCCCGCAAACAGATCGAGATTGAGTTTTCTTGTTAAAAGTCCTTCCTGCAAAAAGAATCGCTCTGCCGTTGACCTCCAGTTGCACTGTTATTCATTCAAGGCTCCTTCGTAACGACTCCGGTCACCGACGCGCGTTCCCGCAAGGCCAGTTTTCATCCGCAACTCCACGACTTCCTCTTGGCAGTTTTCAAACTTCAGTTCAAGCCTTCTGTCCTTCGACTTCTCTTTGCTCTCTTCTCTTCCTCCTCTCTCGGCCATCCCCCATATCCCTCCACACAACCTCCCTCCTCCTCCCCCCCCCAACCCCCCCCTCGCACAATGCGACGTGAGTGGTAGTAGTAGCAGAAGCCCCAAAGATCCTCCGTGAGAGAGACAGAGAGCGAGTGAGCGCGGCGACGGCGTCGCGTAGGCGAAACTTGCTCTGGCTCGGCCCGCTCGGGGCCACACTGTGGCTCCTGGCAGGGCCGCTCATGGGAACTCCTCAACAGCAGAAGAATGGGAGGAAGTGCCTCCCGCCTCCCGCCCCCCCTCCCCCCTTCTCCTCACACATACACACGCATGCTCCCGAACACACGCACTCACGCAGAGCTTTGTGTGTCTGCCCCCGATAAGGCCGGTTCCCTTCCTGAGTCCACACTGCGAAGCTGCGAGAGGTGCTTTTGCAAATATGTATTACGGCGACTGCTGCAGGCGGCACGATTGAGACGGGGGAGAAATAAGGAAGGCGTTTTATTGGGAGTGGTCGGGCAGGTCGACTTAAAACGCTGGACTTCAGCTACGGGCCGCACTCGCAGCGCAAGCGGAAGTGCGTCTGATTGGTTTTGAATGTTTTGAATGAGCACCTTTCCTCACCGGGAGGGAATGACAGCGGCATTGTTTGGGCCCCCGACACACACACACACACACACACACACACACACACACACCTCAATCGAACTTCACACTTTCCACCTCAGCTCCCACACTCGCCCGATCTCTGTCCAGACATGGTGCTTGTTTGTTATGTTTTCGACTTCCATATTTCCTCTGCTCCCCCTTCCCCCCTCGCCCCCCATCAGCCCCAACCACACAGGACGGAAATTCACAGGTCTGCGACCCCCTGACAATCTCCCCTGCTCGTCCGGTAATCCAAACATCGCTTTTGTTTTTGTTTTCAAAACCAGTATGCCTGGGAAAGAGGTGGTGATCGGAGAACGGGAATAACAGCGCGCGCCTCGGCAGAAGTGAGAGAGAAAGGCCCGTTAACTCAACCAGTAGCCAGTCCCACCCCTAGCAACCCCATTAATTTCCTGGCCCGCCTCTTTTCCTTTTTAGCGTTGGGATGTCTGGCTCACGGGATGAAGCATGGACACGGGAGTGACGGAGAAAGAAAGGGGTGAAAGAGGAGCGATGCCGCACTAGTCCGCGCGGCGCTGATAAAGTGGCAGAAAAGGCCGTTGTCTGAAGATCCCTTCATGCCAGCAGTAATGGCAGCTTTTCCCTGTTTGCCTTTTCAAAAGGGACGAGGGTTACCCATCAAGCACACAAAAAACACTTTCTCTCCCTTTCACGCTGCGCTGTTCACCTCTAAATGGGCAGAAGGACGGATTAGAGGGGGAGAAGAGGGGAGAGAAGAAAGCATGTCTCACAGAGAGGAGTGAAAGAAGCTTGTCGAGGAGCCAGACGAGGCCAATCTGGAGCTCAAGAGTGTGGGATCTCTCCCGCTCTGTCGCTGTTATTCTCACTCTGTCCATCTCGCTCTTCATGACCTGAATGGACAGCGATCAAAGGACAAGGCGTCTTCCCGAAAAACAGTGAATGCACAGGGTCAGGGTGAGAGCTCAGGTTGTACCCATCCAGTGGATTCATACTAGTGCAACGACTTGAAGCGATACTGTGAGATAACCAAACCGAGCGGCCCAACGTCTTAGACCGCTTAGGCTGGGCTTCTCATAATTCTAATTATCAGCACTTCATAAATCACTCAGCCAAATCAATTCAGTTTCCCAATAGGCAAATTAGAGCACTTAAACGCACTTTACAGGTTGATGACACACTCAAAGGACCAATAAAGGGAAAATAAGAAGTGGCCACCACTGCCAATGCCAACCTGCTCAAAGGGACAATACTAACATCTATCAAATACTAGCAGATGTATTATCATTTGCCAAAAACAACTGAATGCAAGCTGATGGAAATGTCTAAAGGTCTGTTGGTATTTGTAATATTTAGTATGTTGTAATTTCGACCAGTACGATGTTGCTTGAGCAAAAGGGTTTAAAGTCATAAGGATTCATCTAAAAACCACACTGTTAATGTTTTGAGCGGACGAACCGATCTCCGCCGTCGACCACCAGCTACCAATATTCCGCATGAGTAGGACAACTGTATCTACGAAGCCACAAATTTCACACATTCATACGCACACTAAGACACCAATGGCAGCGGAGCCGCAATGCAAGGCACCCGATTGCTCATTTGGAGCAATTTGATGTAGAGCGAATCGCACGAGGACGCGTGGAGACGAAGTAGAGGCGGCCGAACCGCGCAAAGGTTAACGGATGACTCGCTCACCCACCTGAGCCACAACAGTTCCTAATATAGGTTCAGCTGTGCAGCTGTGTGCATCCCGTCCGGTGTAGCTGGGGGTCTGAACAAGCCCGCCACTCTGCATCTAACAGAGAACACACACTTAGGAGGCCTGAAATACTCAAAGTGGAAACCTGCGGGGAAATTATTCTACATTTATTGTGAGACGCTGGCCGGGAAAAGCCACCGTCCACGTCAGGCTTTCATCTCACTTCAACTGTCCTTCTTCCCGGTCAGACAGAAGTGTCAGACCCATTTTCACGGAGACGATTTAGGAGCTAATGCTGCCTGACAAGCAGAGTGACGCAAGGTTACACTGTCTGGCATGCAACTATTGTTAATATTCATGAACTCCCTACTGCCTGCGAGTGACATTCCTTTTGCCTGTTAAACATGATTGTTAAACGCTTACAAAGGGGGATGGATTCTAGTTGTGCTGCATGTCAAGTCTTTTTGATTCAGGAGATCGATGCCATAAATGCATGTTCTGATACACACACACATACGTGTAAGTGGTCACGGCGCTTTCTAACAAGGAAACGTAAAGAATTTGTGAACACTTTTACTTTAGTATCGTTCTGTCAACTGCCTGCATTTTACTGTATGGTGCCAAAACTCTACCAAAAAGGATTTGCTGTTTTTTTAACTATTATCAAAATGTCTCAACCACTGAAAGGAGCAATGTCATTTCACGTCACAAAATCACTTCTTTGACTTTTGAAGTCTGACGCGAACGGTTTGGCTTCCTGCATTGAAACGAGTGAGTCAAAAGAAGCAACATAACACAATTTGAATGCTGTGACTTTCTTGAAAGCACAATTTCTCCCAAACATAAAGTAACTAAATACATGATGACAATTACACTGGGAAGTGCTTTAAGAGTGTGGACAGTGTATAAGGACAACTTGTGGAGAGATATTCCTTTGTAGATATATGAAGTATAATCTTCAACAACATCTGAAGGGTCCAAAATGTTCAGTGAGCTGCGTGCGTGCAAATTGGTAAAATGATTCACGTGACCAAACGCTGAAGAATATTTCAATGGGTAAAGAGTGGGCAGTTCATGATAGCACAGAGCTCTTTGTGTAGTGAGGGTGATGGCCATGGGGTGACAGAGGGGGGGGGAGGAGGAAATACTCAGCGGTCGGCTAGGGAGCAAGGCCAAGGCAACTGAAAAAGGAAAAGAACAGAAAGAATAAAAGGTTTTTCCATCCTCCCGTAATCTAGTCCCCCCCCCCTCATCTGCCCCCTCCTTTCCAAACCAACCCTCAATTCTCCCCTGAGACTGACCCACACAAACCGCACAATCATCTGTTACTCGGATTCACCCGGACATAAAGAGGGAGCGAGAGGAGAGGGGAGGGAGCGACGGGAGAGGAAGGAGAGAGGCAAAGGAGCATTGACAAACGCGGATGTAAAACTTTTCCACCTCAATGCTGCCCCCACATCATTACTGCCCTCTTCACCTCCCACGTGACGTACTGGGTGCCGGCTTTTGTCTTTCTCGTTGGACGTCGCAATTCAGCAGAGACTAAACCTTTGATTGTGATGAACGGTGTGATTCAAGTGCAGTTCATCGGGGACACAGAGTCATTCACAAAGGAAGAGGGTCGAATGCGGTGCGCTGTGGGATAAGTCATCTGTGACCTGTGATTCTGTGTGTGTGTGTTTGTACAACCTGCATTATGTGTAGAGTAGGGAGAGGAAGAGTGTATGAACAAAAGGTGAGCGCCTTTGTTTAATGCCACCCTGTAGAGCTTATTAGCTACAGTAACTCCTTCTGACCACTGCTTTCAGTTCATGTGTCTCCAAAGCAACGTGAATATGTTTCATCAACCTGCTGATCTGTTGTCACTCCAGGAGTCATCGTCATAGTGATCCTTTTTTAATGAAACTATAAGAACACAGGAAATGAGGGTGTTTTACTGGCCAAGTTTGATTAGGTGGTTAAAAACAAACACAAATTGCCCACTACTTTTCCCTCTTTGTTGTCCCACGAATCTATTAAGATTTAACTAAAACTAGTAAACTTCTATAATTTACCGACTCGCTTGGTGAGGCCTGCAGAGAAATATCTGTTCTAAGGTTTGATGTCAAAAAAATATCTTGCACTCTCCCGAGCATGAATTGCAATTCTTTCATGTTTGTGGCCGAGTGGGGGCATTTCTCTAGCAGCGGATGGCCGTGCCTTGTGTGGTTGTGGTCACCATTTATGGTCTATGTTTTATTAGGCTACCGATTATGCTGCAATCCTGTGATGTCCTCCGACAACACTCTGGTGGGAAAAATAAGCCAAGCGTGTGCTGGATTGAAAGCTATTTAACGGCCGTGCTTTCAAGTGCTTCTATTCCAATTACGGCTCCAAACGCCGCCGCCCCTCCACTTATGTATCATCCAGAATAAGTACCTGGCGTAACAAGTGGTGTATCACAGGACCTGTAAAAGGGAATTTTCTAAAGTATCATCCGTGTTGGTATCTAAAAAAAAAAAAAAAAAAGCTAAAATGTCCATGTGTCCCAAGCTGTACTTTTTTACAGATGACCACTTTGGCTTTCAAATGTCCATTCCTGTTGTTGTCATTATTAATGATGTTTTCCAATTGGATTAAAACCAAAAAACAATTGACAATCACTGAAATGGATAAAAGTATCATCAGTCATGCTGCTGTGTCTCTTTAACAGTTTAAGTGGTCTTCCTCGTTCATTTTTAATGAACGCATGGCAACCACACAGTCAACAATGCATAAACCATGAAAACCAACTTGACTTTTTACTCTCTCTCTCTGTCTCTCATGACAAACCATCATTCTGCTCCACTTGGGACTCGGATGCTTTTTGTGACAAATATCTTCTTTCAAGAAATGGCATCTTGCTGCATGCTCCGCTCGAAGCTCAAACGCATGACTCAGTTGGTTACCATGGTTGCTGGCAATGTGTAACGTGGAATTCATGCAGTAAATATCTTACCGAAGGCATGTTTATGCATGATGAGTTTGCTGGACAGTGCGATATCACGGGTCAACTACTTGGTGTATATCAAACACAGGTCCATCCAATAAGTGTTCACGTTCATGCAAACGCATAAAATAAGAAACACACAAACTGACACACATCAAAGAAAATAGTAAGTTATGGACCAACATATACTCAAACCTCAAAATTTTAAAATTTAAATTTAAAATTTAAAAAAAGGACAACGACAGCAACTGAACATTAACTAGATATTCACTGCTTATATTAAACCATTTCCGTAGCAGAACAAGCGGATCACACCGGCATCACATCAGCATCCTACGCTTTACATGCACACACAGACAGTAAGAGGATTGAAGGTTTGATTCATACTCACTGTTAAGCATTGCATATTCTCAGGCCGATGGGTCTCGGGGGCAGCACCATGGTTTGACAGCACAGCCTCTGAAATGTAGACAAAGGAATCACGGGCTGAGACAGTGCCTCTGGAGCACATTTCTCTCCGTGCCAACGCAAAACAGCCTGCTGGACGCACAAAGATAAAGTCCTCAGATTGTTCGGAGAGTCCATAAAAGTGACTCGGAGGGATGACAACAGGCAATTAGGGCAGACGTTTGTGCGGCGCAGCCTTCGCCGGGCTGGAATTCAAACTTTGGAGCGCACATGAAAGAAAGGCAACACCAACCAGGACAGAAAATTTTGAAAAAACAGCCGAGCCGAGGAGAATCTCGTAAGATGCGAGGCTCAGACCAACTGCCCAAGAGAGGGGTGGAAGTGAGAACAAGTGAGAGGGAGCAAAGGCGGGAGGGGTGAAGAAGAGAAAAGGAACTCCTCTCTCACTCTATTATCCGTCCGTCACACAGGGCTCCTGGGAAGTTGCTATGGTTACGGGGACTCACGCCTTAGTGTCCTTTTAACTATCGCTCATAAAGGCAGCATTCAGCTTGGGGCAACAATACAGATCTCCCTCTCTCTATCTCTCTCTCTCTTTCTTTGTCTTTCCCTCCATCTTTCTCTTTGTACGTAGTTTCACCTAAAATATAAATCTTTCTTTCTCATTTTTTTCCCTTTCTCTCAAACTTCACAAAAAGCAACCCCACTGTCCTCCACCGCCCCTCCCACTACTACCTCCCTCTTCTGCGTGGTGTTTCGATCCCCCTCTTTTCTATACTCGGCCATCACGCGTACCTTTTGTCACAACAGGAGATGGATTTTCCCAACCACGACTGTGAAATGTTATTTTCCAAACTCCACCAACCAAGTCAAAGCCGCCCAGCGTGAGTCAAAGAGGGTTAGGGGAGGAGTAGCCTTCTGTTACCTCACAAAAAGTAGCAATAATCCCATTATATATACACATATTTTGAAATATCTACTTAAGTAGTTTTATAGAAAGATAATCTTCAAAACGGCCTTACAGCTGCCTGAAATGGAAGGTTGAACATGTCTGGCAAATCATTTTTCTTTGAATAGAGATTTTAATATAACGTTGTAGGACCCACAAAGCCTTACAGTGAGGACAACAGCGTTAGTAGAAAAGTCCCCGCAGCCGACGCGCAGCACTTTTTCATCCAAGCAAAGAGGCAATTACGACTCGTCCATTGGGAGTCGAGACGGAAGTTGGGTCACGTTGTTAAACAGCCAGAGTCGGTAAAGGGAGGAGGTCAGGCTGGTCTACAGATTGTAGGACTACGCCACGGGAGACTGACGTTCATTTCCTATGTTTCTTTTATCCTCAGATCTAAACATCATCAAAGTGGAACCTTACCCAAACCAAGATATTTATTTTTACTTTAGTTTTTTTACCATATCAAAGAGGGTTTTGTGCCTGAAAGAATACCGATGTGATTTATTTTTTTACATGTAATTTGTTCAATTTTTGGAAGACAAAAAACAAGAAAAAGGAGAGGCACGACAAAAAAATAATAGGTGTTTATTGTGCGTTTTGACTTGTTGTTAGGGGTGCTTGTCTGGGGGTAAAGAGAGACTCAAACACAAACCGACCTGTAATATTTTAGATTACTATATAGACAATAACCTGTGTTTTTTTTCAATATGACAGTTATCACCAACAAGTATGTTGGAACCTACATCATTCTGCGCACAAAAGCTCAAACATCCAACAAGGAGAAGAGTTTTTAAAATGTATCTAGTCGGTTGAAGACATTTTGGACACAGTTTCTACTTTCCGTTGTTTAACCCCTGAGTAAGAGGAACCAACCCCATAGTTGTGGTTGCCCTGGTAACCCGAAGGCTTCATGAAGGCAGAAGAGCGGGGGGCCAACCTGGCTGGCACGGAGCCCGGGTGAGAACTCTTTTGTGTGGGTAAGACATCAGTAACGGAGGGCATAAGAGGCGAGAGACACGCAGCAGCTGGCAACGAGGAAACATCCAGCATGACTGACAAAAAAAGAAAAGACATGGGCGGAAGAAAGAGAGACATTAAGAGTGGACAGTGAGAAAAGTATACACAGAATGTACCGATAAAAAAAAAGACAAACAACGAAAGCAGACGGCGCAGAACAAAAGGACAGCAGTCAAAAGGAGATGGTGCTCTTCTACAGTTGAGTCCGCCGGTCTCACATCTGCCAGAACATTAAAACAAAAAGGCCCCTTGACTCTGGCCGAGTCGCTCGTTGCGGCGCTCGCTCACTTGACACCCGGTCAGTCTTTTCACCTCCTGTCGCCCACAAACAAACACACACTTAACGGAGAGGGTGGGAAAGCCAAGCTGGGAGGAGAATTGGGAATCACCTCAGGCCCAGAAGGTTACTCGATGTACGGTTTTAATTGGTGAAAAAATAAAAGAAGTAGGGTTAAATATCTACTAAGTGTAAATTAAGTAAAAGCTTGTACTTTAAATGGAAATAAAGACACATAAAATGTGTGTGACAAAATATTGCGCACCTCGGAATTTTGTGAATTCCATATTTAGTTAAATTAGGTCGCAAAGTAACGTTTTAACATTTATGTTGCAGAGGCAGTTGTTGTGAACCACCTCACATTCAGAAGGTAAATGTGATAGTTATTGGAACGCGTAGAGTCGTGATTGATGCATTTCATTTCCTGTTTGTCCACTGCAAGGCAGAGCTGGAAAGGATTATGATAGATTCTTAAAAGGATTGGAAGAGAACACGGGTATAAATACCCTTTGATTAAATTTCAAATGCAGGCTTAACGGTACTTTCAAATTCATTAAAGCATCAACTTCTACCACCGGCGGCTCTACTTGGTCATCTGAGACTGGCTAGTGAGGATACACTAAAGTGGGGCTTCCTTTGTTCCGACCGCGGCCTTCAGCCAGTGATGACGAGGTCAAAACATCGACTGAAAACGCCAAAGCGTGCGCTCGGGGCTTTTGAGATTTCACGTATTCGTGGAATGATATGCTGTTAACATATTTTCTCTTTGATTATGCGGCTTGTGTGAGAGTGATTTTACTTTACACAACCTCGCATAGGGCACACGTGACCCTTTTACTGCCGGTTAGTTGTCTGGTTTGAGTATAACATACTAATTGACTCACTTAAATGACTGTCAGAACCTTCTGTCAGCTATGTGGTGTCACTGAAGGTTGGAGTGGTTACACTCATTATGATACCAGACCATTGACACCGAGACTTCTCCTGCTGTGACCCGTCAAAATGTCTTCCGTGTTATTGGTTGAGCTTGGCGTTAAGTTTGGCGACCTCAAAAATGCCCCCCCCACGTCTAATTAGCCTGAACAAATTAAATGAACACGCAAATTCCGCTGTTTTTCAATTTCAATTTTTAAAGCAGTCGATAATTTTTTTAGATTTAGCAACTTTCTTTGTTGACTAAAGTTTGCAATTTCTAGATTACGAATTCTAGATTTAAGAGAGAAAACTATTTTAACAATAAATAGTTTTTTTTCCAGTTAAATTTATCGTTTAAGTTTAATGCTGTGTACAGGTCAGTCATTTCATTTGTTTGTGATAGTGAATTAAACTTCCTCAACGTGATTGTCATCCCTCGTAAAATGACTCTTTTCCAAAAATAATATTCTATTGTTTGTATTTCTGTGACAGGGAAAAAAGAAGACGTCACATCTGCGCAGCTGTCAAAAGGAGCACAGAGCTGAGCACTATTGGCTGAAATGCTTCACTTCGGATCAAGTGGATGTAAGCCCGGGGTTGATGAAATCGTCAGGGTATCCTCTGCATGGCATGTCAGACATGGATTGTCCAACACATTGCCTCATATAATCGCATACGCTCACATATTCACAGCCACGATTTGACTAGAGAAACCACACAATATAAAAACAGCCCCCACATCGCACATCTATGTCAATTTCCAACCCCTTCCCCTTCACATGGTGTTTACTTTAATCTACTGATTTAAAGGCTCGCCATCTGGAGAGAGCCTGGGCGTGTTTGTTTGTGGGTCTGTGTGTGTGTGTGTTAAGTACGCCTGGACCATCTATCCTAAAAAAGTACAATGTATGCATACAACACAGATGACACACTTTTTAAGCACGAGCCCAAAGGGAGCTCTGCTATTTTTGCTTTCACGCATATACAAACCATGTGACCCACATCGTAAGCTCGTTGGAGGGAGATGCATTAGCCATGGTCAAAAACACACACACGTCTGTGTCACTGTGGGTCAGTAGTCTCTACTGGCACAATACGCAAGCCAAAAACACAGAGCTAATAGAGTCCTTCAGACACTGTCTCCATATGTGTAATCAAGTACACATCACAACATTTATGTCTTCATTTCTGCTGCCTCAACTATTTCATGCATTTGCATTTTGGGGGAAATAAACTCAGAACAGAAAAAATGGGAAATTTTGGGAATAATCTGTTCTAGATGTGCAGTTACATGTGAAAATTGTAATGTATATATGAATCAAATGTGGACTGAGTTGTCTTAAACCGGGCCCTATTTTAAAACCAAACTCAAATTGTCTTAGTTAAAAAGGAATAACCATAATGATAATACATTGAATCTGTTCAATACAGTGATGATAACGCATGTTGATGCATCTATTCAACATAAATGCTCCTTACTGAACATTTATCAACAAAATTAGCAAGCTAGTTAGCATTCAGTTCTACATGTTGGGGAAACTGCATCTGTTTAGACAACTTCCTCTCCATCCCCATGCTAATGACCTTACAGCCTAATACACATCCACCACATAAGTGTAACAGCTACATATTCCCAGTATACCACCATCTATGTATTGTGTATTGTTAGTATTACTACTGGCAGTACTTTATGACTGTAGCTCAGGATAAGCTTCTACCGCTGCCTGGTACAAAGATGGGCTCTGACAATCAGCACTAATTGCCCAGTCAGCCCCACTCAGATACGTTGTTCGGCTGCCACTCATGCCTCTCAACTTGTGTTAAGCAAAGTTAAGATGGCAGCCTTCTTCTTGTATAATTACATTGTAATTAGCTGTCGCAGCTGAACAGGTTTTTGTTGTGGAAGCAGAGTCTAAAACGTGCAAGCGGAGAGTGTGTTTGGCATGACTTCTAACAACCTTACATGTAGGGAGTTCATTCCTATCAGTGCTCTGCATTTGTGATTCATTTATTTCAAGTCTATTTTCTGTGTGTGTACATCAGATGAATCTGCAGAGTCATGTTTGTAAGGCCTGTTGGTATTTGCACATGTGTAAAACGTGTGTTTTTCTAAATAGCAAATGTGTAAAGCCAATCATTAGTCCAGCGTTAGCCCGGGCTGAGGTTTTGGGTTGTTTTTGGCCTGGCAGTGAACTCGCCCTGAACTGACACAGCTCGCTGATGAGCGATTAGTCACACACACTCATCCAAATAGTGCAATTAACTATTTAACTGTTGATATTCACGGCCACATTACACCCGGTCTGACAAAACGAGGCACTTATTGTATTGTAAATTATCCCAATACAAACAATTACATGAAGACCACATATTGGATAATGTGGAGAAGCGAATCTCATTTGATCGTGAACAAGAAGCTGAACCAATAACAATGGTTTCAATTTCTTGACAGCACATTTAACCACCTATTTCATAACCGTCTTTACCATTTACTTGATTCAACTTAACACCTATGAAAAGTTTTCTTGTGACAATTCCTATAAACAAAATACACAAACTAATGGACCAACAAATATAAAACCAACTGCAGCTCCTACTGCGCAGCTTCTCACCACCAAATGAGCACAGGTGAAAATAAGAAATTCAGTTTCACCAAAATACGATATTTAACCTTGAAATACAGAGGTTATTTGAGGGGAGAAAAACTTTAAATACTTTAAATTATTAACTAAATAATAATTATTGATTAAATTTAATTAAAAGTCATCTTAGAAAGTACAGCATAGGATTACTAAATCTAAAATGATAGACAATAGTGTTGTATTCCCTTTAAAGATGGACCGTATGGCAGTATTGCTTGAGAATAGATGGGAAGGGTTAGGAGGCGCTTGATAATCAGCAACTAAAATGATGAATTAGCTTTAGGTCCAAAGCATTACAAGAACATGGTGAGCCTGCCAAGCTCTCAGCACAACTCTACTCGCAGAGAGAACGAGATGGTAAAAGTCTTTCATTTTTACATTTAGCCACAGTATTGAGTTACATAAGAGGCTGACTGAGGACTAGGTCCAAACAATGCCAAATTACTCAAAAGCGGTGACGTCTGAAAAAAGGTCAGGAAGGGAAATCAAATAAAAAAAAAGATTGGAAGGAGGAGAGCGTGATATGGGCACAATATTCACAAAGACATGGATAACCATTGTGAAAGAGATGCACAAAATAAAGAGGGACAGACATGTAGGGAGACAGAGAGAGAGAGGCCGGACACACAGAGCTGCATAGAGATAAATGGGATCTTGGTCTTTTCAGTTAGTGCATTCCACGGTGCAGCAGTTCCTCCATGGCCTACATTCTGCCAGCTGACAACAACCAAGTGCATGCACGAGTTTACACATCTCACACAAGCATGTATCAGATGAGACAGTAGTGGGGCAGTATTTCCATTGGGAACATGGGTCACCCATTAAAACGACTAAGCAGTTTTGTTTTGGGTCATAAAATCCTGTGAAAGAAACTTTCTCAGCAACCACAATTAACACACTTGTGTCGTAGTTTTTCTGAAATAACTGTTTGCCTGTCTAAGCATAGAGTGTAAGCCTGGATGCCCTCACGCAAACCTGGTAATGGTTTCCCGCCGGCTGAGTCCAATCTGATACCCCTGTCCCAGTTCCATCCGCAGAAGCATAAAACTAATTTTAAAGTTGCATGAAGCAGATTAGCCTAGTTCAGCCAAGCGGTGAAAACTGGAATGGGTGAGCTAACGTCTCATGATATAATTGTCACTCTCACAACCCAGAATGAGAGAAGCAAAGGAAAGTTGATGCTATGGGGAATGGGGACGGGTTGTGGTCGAGGAGGGTAAAAAAAAAAAAAGAGATGTGCGTTTTGCTGGGTGCTGATGTGAAGGGTCCGTGCATAGCTTTGTACATGAAGTTGTGGTGGCGCAGGAAGAAATCTACTAAGAAATGACTTGGCCCTAAATTGAAAGCAACCGTTAACATACTGCTCAGCAAAATAACTAAAGGCACACGCAGTGTAGAGAAGAGATGCAAATGATAATCGATACTTAAAAAGGACAAAATCTTAAAAAAAAACATGATGGAAGAAGACAAGGAAGAGGAAATGAGCAATAAGAGGGAAAAGAACAAGTGAAACAGTGAAGAATCAGACGTGGCGAGCGCACCTAGAAAGGAGTCACACCTTCAAACAGCATCCGAAAAAGGAAACCATCAACTCCACGTTGCCAATCTGCTTCTTTGTGAAATGCAACTTCCGAAACGCAGTCACGTGCACGATAACGTAAACATAGTACTTACCTAGTCCAGGCTGCTCTTATGGCCGGCACAGAGTGGCATAACTCCAACTCAGAAACACCACCAGCACCACCGCCTCCTCCTCCTTCGCTAATGTCAAACTACGATTCAAAGCAAACATAAGTAGGAAGAGAAGGAGCACTCCAAGGTGGAGAGGAGAAGGAATAGATTTCCAAACAACTACGTGTGCGTGGGGATTGGGGAGAAGGGGCGGGGGGGGCAGGTGGGGGTGTGGGTGGATGAGAGTTGGGTGGGTGAGAGTCTGTGTGTATGAGGGGAGATCCACTACAGCAGCGAGCGGAATGAGAGAGCTCCGTCTCCCTCCCTTTCTCTCTGGCAACTGTGACGCGTCAGGGTTTTCGTCCAGACCCCTCCTTCCCTTCCACTCCGTCTTTCCCTCATTCGCTCTCTCCCAATCCCTCTCTCTCTCCCTCCTTTAATCCCTCGCTTCCACCGGCGCCCCACCTCCAGACCCAGAGACCGATACAGCCTTAGTGCTGCGAGACTGGCACACACAAACATGTGACAGAAAGAATGTGGCAGGTTGCAAAAGTTCCCATTTTTACATTTGTTTGACCCTGAACATTTTTCAATAGACTTGATACCGTTCTTTTCCGTTTTAGATATGTATTTTGCACGTCATTATTTTAATTACTATATCCGTTCATCCGGTTTTAAGATCATCATCATCACGTTGTGTGAGTTTCACCACTGGTACCAAATCCATACATTGTGTGCAGTGTTAGATAAATACATTTTCCTAATTCCAAAATGGCTCATAAGTAGAAAAGTTTGCTGATTTAAATGAAGACATATTTGACCCCCCAAAAACAGACCAAAGAATCCAATACAGCAGACACATTTGGTTGAAATAAGTCAGTGTTTCATTGGTAAAGGTTAGTGATTAATTCTACTTACCATGGGAGTTGTAGTTGTGTTGTGTGGGCACTTTAAGGTGCTTCTTCCTCCCTAGCTCTTCCCCAAGTAGGTAGTACCATCCTTGAACCTCCTATAGCACACATAAACAGCGACGTTGTGTGCGCGTGTATGTGTGTGTGTGTGAGTGTCAAGCGCATGCACGAGTATGCTTAATGAGACTTAATGAGAATTGATTTAAAATGAAATTCTCTGTGAGTAAAAAACAAGTACACCAGTACATGCCCACAAAGATGCAAACACACATTTAAATTTGCTTGCTCCTCCAGGGCTGAAAACACTGAACACACACACACACACACACACACACACACATACACACACTCACCACTCACAATGCTTTAGCTTATTCCAGCAGCTGATGCTTCCACTTCTGTACTTCTGCCCTTTGAGCCAGATGGTGTGTGTGTGTGTGTGTGTGTGTGTGCGTGTGTGTAAGCACATGCAAGCACTGCTGTACTGTATGTGTGTTACATAAATTCATGTAGAGGAGGGGGTCTGGTTTTTAATCCTGATGATTTGGGTACGGTATTTGTACAACACTGTTTTAAGCTTTGTTGATTTTTTTACCCGGCGTCACACATTTATCACAGGGCACACGCGCACACAGGGCAGGCATCCTTTTTTGTACCACATAATGTGATGCCATGGACGGTGACAATAATCTCCGTTTGAAAAGCATCTTATCTGAGTGGAAAGATTTCTGCGGGCTGTGGGACAAGCGGGGGAGGACGGGCGGTGGACTTGTATGGAAGATGGGGGAGGGGAGGACACATGTCCTGAAAGTCAGGGATGGATTTACCCCTTCGTTCAATATCACTCTGCACATGTAACAAACCGGGTGGAGGGGGGGGGTAGTGGGACAAAGAGAGCTGTGAGTCAGGAGGGAGACCGATGAGAGAGATGAAAAGAGAAAGCAGGAGATGAGAGAGAAGTAAAAAGTGAGTAAAGCATGCAAACGAATGACAAGATGTGACAGGCAAGCAGGGAAGGTAACAGAAATAACCAGACAGCTCCAAATGCTTCTGGAATAAAGGAACACATGGAGACACACCGAATGGGGGGAAAGGGCAGAATTGAAAAAGACAGAAGAAACAGAAAAGAAGAACAAATGTGGTGTAGAGAAATAACTCCATGTGACTCTGAGCTAAATCTCCCTCTCCGGCCTATTAAGGAAATTAAATATTCATTGAGATAAATAGAAGTGGGAAGCCGTAAGCCTACGTAAACTCATTCTCGGTGTTGGTTTTCTTCACTGATGTGGATGCCAATTGAAACTACAACAACAACACTTACTGTTGTGAGGGATAAATATTTCAGTCAGCCTGAAGAAAGGCAACAAGAAATGTATTAAAGCCTATAGGACAAATAGTCAATATGGAGAATTGTTTTTACCATGTCGTTGCTTCCTTTTTCTGAAGTAATTTGAACCCGAGAATATCATGTGTTCATATTTGCTAGTTGACAGAGGGCCCCAATTGTAGGGTTCTTGGGGCCGAATGCTTCCTTGGTAAAAGGGCTGATGATGCAATCACTCAAGTACAGAAACAGACAGAAGGAACTGTGCTGTGACCATAATGAGCAATACGGTTTCCTTCCTCTAAATCCAGAAATATGAACGCCAAATGATGTAATGAAGTACAAATGACCTGGGAGCTGAGGCATTACATACCACACATTTGCAGTGGTTACTGCGCTTACCACTAAAATGTTCGTTTTTTTGTGGCAGACTGCAAGAGGAACATTTGCACACATGCAACGGCAATGGCAAAAACAGCTGGATAAACTGTAATTAATAATTCAATTGTGACAGGAAAGAGCTAAGAAAAGCGTCTCTGGGGAGATACTGTTTGTGGAGGAGATCCTATTCTGAGCCACGCTGAACTCTTGGACCTCACAGTCATCGGCTCTCACCTTGGACAGCTTGAGAATAAGAACTAAGGGTTGCGTCCCTCTATATAATGATGTACCGTAGGTGTGTGGGAGGAAGTGATGTCAGCCTTTTTGTGTCGTGTCTCGGGATGGCATTCTGTCAGGCTGTCTCCACAACTATTGCAGGAAATTTAGTTTTTCCCATCCCACTCGGGATTAACTGAAATCAGTTTGAATTTCCATTGACTTTTAAACTAGCACCACCAACGGGTCCAAATTTCTATTCGTCCTGTAATTTGGTTTTGGACTAAATATCTGAAAAAAACGAATGACGAGTCCAGTCCCCACAGCGCTAAAATATCCATAGACCAGTACTCTTGCTTTAGCATCTGTATGCAATGCTGACATCAGCCAGCCGAACAGTGAAACATACGGCATGTGCGAGGAGAAGAGGATGGGCTGTGTTTATTGACAGATCAGACACAGGCTGACAGATTAATCGAAGTGGATCTAGTTGCCATTGCATCATCAGTGGTATCATGTTCATTCCCACATACAATACATTGTTTAACATGGGAATATTCTATTAAATTTAATGAAACATTTGTGTATGTTTGAGTATGTAATGTTTGAGTATGTAATGTTTAAATCATCATCATCTGATCAACATCCTGTATTTTTGCCTATTGTAATAAAAAAATAAAAAGAAGAGATTCAATTTAGGACTGCATGTGTTTTTAAAACATTTGAGCAGTGTGACTCAAACTGAGTTCATCTCCAGTGACCGGAGGCACCGCTGCTGCACTGTAACACTCGTAACCCCAAAGTGTTTCCTCGCAACTATTGAGGTCACTGGAATTCATTCATACTGAACTAAAATTCACAGATTCACGGTCTGATGGATGGTCACACACATGTTTAAACTTACCTTGTCTGGATTCAGAAGCGAGAGCACACCGAAGCTCATGCATCCCACTAGCTCGCTCATCCTGGTGATACAGAGAGAGAGGCACACAGGTAACATATTCAACACAACGAGTTGTGTGTGTGTGTGTGCGTGGTGGTGGCCGAGGGGGTCCGGGATGTTTAATCATGCACAGATGAGAAAGAACAGTTCTCGACAGACCTCCCAGCTGGACGCGACCGGTGCAGCTGCTGATTCCGCTTCGAGGGCAGGCTCCCCGTCAGCGCAAATGAACACCCGAAATGTTTTCCCGGCTCCACTCGGTCGAATGACCCGGTGACCATAAGAGCTCAGCTGCATCGTCGGAGCGCCGCGGAGACAACGCTGAGTTGACGAGAGCCTTTAGCCGAGTTAAGTTAATACACCACAAAGTATTGCAAATGTGTCCTGAGAAGGAGGTGAATGTGTGCCAGGATTCCATCGGATTCTTATTGAGACGAGCGCATGCATATTGCTTATATTAATGAGAGGATCCCTCACTTACTTTGTGGCCTCTTTGCATTCAGCCTGGTGATCATAACTCCAGCAACCTCCACTCCATTCACATTTTGTGCACAGAGCAGCATTCTGGTCTCTTCCTCACTATTCTATCAGTGTTCGCAACCCACCTGGCAGCTGACATTAGAGGTTATCATATCTCTGCATTATTGAGTGTGCGCGTGTGTGTGTGTCCACGGCTAATCACGCAGACTGCTTGCACCAGGGTGCATTATATTGCTCCCCGGTGCTCCTGGCCGGTGTCGGCCGCATTATTCTACGCCCTTCTTTTGTTGGGCATCATACCTCATGTGTAAATGCGTATTTTTCAAAAGGATGGACTTGAAGCTTAAATAAATGCATCGGAGCGGCGACACGCCCACACTGAGCAGGTGTGCTGACATCTGTATGGATTAAAATGAGAGCGAGGATGAAGTAACTCCCTTTGACACTCGAGCTGCAGTTCCCCTCTTGTGCAATAAGGTGAATTCACGTTCACCTGAGGAACATTCTGTTCTTGGGTGTACGCGACTCAAAAGGTTGTGATCTTAATTTCCCAGAGCAACTGCACAATAAGAAAAGCTGTCCATAAAGTTGGTCAGATCAGTGTCGTTTGTCTGAGGTGACACTTCCCCGCTTCATGGAAGACAACAATACTGTTATTGCTTGACTGAAAATTTGACCAACCCACGGTTATGTATGGAAAGACACGGTTTGGATTTTAAGTAGTACTAAATGCACCGTGGCATCAGTTTTGAACGATTGTGCACAGAGAAAATGGGAGTATTTAAGACTCTACTTCTTTAATCTTGAAGGGCAGAGTTCCAACTGCTTCGAATAAGTCAAGCTAATAGTAAAACTACACTTGGAATCCTATCTGCATAACAAAGGGTTAAAACTAATATTCAAACAAACATACAGTACCACAAGAATATGGCTTTACCAAAGTCGTATCTCTATTGGAAACATATCTTACTAATGACTTTTCCCATTTAGTGCCACACAACATTTTTTTGTGAATGAGGCTTAATTGCTTTCCAAAGATGAGTAAATCGCTCTTAATCTGTGTCCCAGAAACGGTCCCAACAAGGTCTTTATCTTTAAAAGCGTTCCTTGATCTTAACTCAACTACTTCCGTAAGCCTGTCCGTGCTTCTCATCTGAATACACTGTATGTGATATTTTAATCAACTGAAAACCGCAAGTGTCCTTCAAAGAAAAGCAGTTGGACCACAGTGTTCTTTGTTCGGGGCACAGAGCTTTAAAGCCCATAAACAAGTTCTAAAATAGTGTTTGTATTCCTAGCACATAGCGATGCTTTTCATCATCCGTCCTCTCAATACAAGACAGCACAAGACATTTGTGACTCATTCGACCATATGTCCTCCATCGCCGGCAATGACCCTGTTTCAGCTTAAGTCTGCTGAGGCACGGAGGCGAGAGTAACACATTCACTCAGCCAGATTCAGAATGAGCCACACAAATAAACACATACACGCACACAGAACCAAGCCCACAGAGGTTTGCAGGAGCATCTATTATGAAATGGTGTTTTACTGCTCTACTGGGCAGCTTTAGCATTTCTTTCCAGAGCTTCTTGAAATGTAACTTTTAAAATAGGAGCTTCAATTGAAAAGAAAAACACAAATCCGTTTCCCTGCCTATGACTACCGTCATAAGCCTCACAAACAACATCGTCAACATTCTCAGCCGGTACCTCGTAGTGGAGTCAGAGTTCCACATGGTGAAGAGCAGTCGCTTATGAAGGTCCGCCTTACTGAAAACAAAAGGAATAAACATTTATTTTCACGCAATTGAGAGGAATATTTATGAATAGACATTCAGATCTAAGCACAAACATTTCTATACTGTCAACAGAACTTGAAGAGCCCACAGCCCAGTGAAAAATGTGTAGTGCCAAAGTTTTTTCTATTCATTTTATCTGTCCTTCAGATACCATACGGTGTTCTTGGGGCGGATACAATCAATCTGACTAAGCAAACCTGCCTTCCACTAAGAGCTCAACGTCCCAAATGTAACTACACAAAGGATATAACTGAGTGCTTACAAGTAAAAGGTTTGTAAGAAGACTGGGTTCCTGCACCGAGGAACCATCCGAGTCTTCTGTCTGTGGCTGGGATCACTGTCCGGGCACATACCGACCTGAGGAGGAGAGCAAGAGCAAGCACAACCTCGTCTCCACCCGGTCACCACAGCTCCCAAAGGTTATCGCTAACTATTTACAGCTGTACTTACCTTTACGTAAAAGTCACGTGACCCTTTGCAGTCATCCATAAGGTCCCTAGCCTCCAACACTGCAAACACACATACACACACACCCACGTAGAAGTAAATAAATAATGAGTTTCTAGTCACATTATTTATGTATCATTATATGCACGTCTCGTATTCAGGTGCTGAGTCAAAATGGCTCCATGGCTCCGGTCCCGGTAAAGATCGGTGTGGCTCAGATCCTTAGTGATGTATAATATTTCTGGATGGACTCATTATCGCTGCACACCCGGGTTTCGCTCATGTAGACAATGACTGCATGTGTTGCGAGTCCAGACGGTGTCAAATTTGGAAGCATATTTAGCATATGGACGAGGCAAGCAGGGCTGCCGTGATCAACACAGCTCGTGTCACGACTCAAAAAAGGCAGCTAGAGTGGAAAAGATGTTGATAGTGGGGAGCAGGTGGGGAAAGCCAGGTGACGAAAGGAGAAAAGGGGGTTTATAGTAGGGAAGGGATGGAGAGAGGCTGGAGGTGCTAGTCAGCTGACAGTCGGTCAGAGGGCATCCGGTGGACAGAGAACAGCAGCGGATGGGTCCGAGGAAGTGACAGAGAGGCGCAACGTGGCGGCCCAACGTTTTGCCTCTAGATTGAGGCATGCGCAGGAAGAAGAGGAAGATGTCTGAGTGCTGAAATAACAAGCTGTGAAAAAGATTTGTAAGAAGCCATTAATTTTTTCCAATGACTGAGAACCCCAAAGGGGAAATGACCACACGCTATAGAAAAAGCTGCTCAAGTTATGTGAGGAAGTCAACATTTGATGAGCCGCTTCTCTGCCTTTGTCTTTGGCAGCAAAGCAATTTTTATTGTGGGCATAATAAAAAAGTAAAGTAAAGTAACTATCTATGTATCTCAGCTTACATATGTCGCTCAAAAACCCCATGAACAGAGAGACATGAGAAAAAATGAAGTATAAAGTTTTGGTCCCAGGATATTACAAAATAAAAACCAAACACAGAGACATGATCCAGTTCTTTAGATCTTTAGACATCAGACTCTTTGATAATACAAATGCACAAATTGCAGAAACTGTGTGAAATTGCACAATTCAAGAGCACTTTGACTCCAAGTCCATAATAAAGCATTATACACGGTGGAAAAACATGGATGAATAACTATTCATCGGTTAATGCTTTTGGCATACTAAAATGTCATGTAATATTTCAGATTATTTTTGAGGTACTTTTTGATGTTGCTGTTGTGTCATCTTTAAAGAAAGCCTCCAGCTTGTCATCTGATAAGTAAATGGCCCCTCACTGAGAGAAAAGACATGGGCACAAAGGATCGAGGACAGGAGACGAGGAAATCAAAAACAAAAGTTTCAGCGTGTACGGCTTCGGTTGCTGGGAGACCAAAGTAAACAGCCTATTTTCCCTTTTTTCTGGTTAATGGTCGGCTGTCGTGATTTGACAGGAGATCCGCTCTGTGCCGTTCCATATATTTGCTTCCCAAATGAAGTCACACCAGCTCCCCCGGCGGGCACAGACACTGTACTTTATTCCAAGTGTCTCACCGCAGCAGTCTCTCTCCTAACGGACGGCCGTTAAAACAACTTACCGCTGACGACAAGTGCCTCGTGCTCCTGGATGATTGACAGCTTAAGCTGACCTATGGAGAATGAGAAAAGGAAGGTTATGATGGGGTGACAAGGATCTGTGTTGAACGTGATGCGTTTACAATACAGAGACAGGAGGACCATCGTGGGTTTAGGGCAAACACTGATTCTTTCAGGTGGTTTTGCGTAGGACTATTTCTTGACCACCTGGAAGGTCCGCTGGTTGTGTGGGAACGTCACAGGGAAGCCTCAGTTAAACCAGCCAGGCCAGCAGTTTCTCCTCTGCTTCTGATCGTTATTCTGAGCTAAGTTGTAATATTCATTTGATAGGTGTAAAATCAGCGTTACTCTGACTACGTCTTGTTTTAACTTTCAAAAATCGAAACAATAAACCAAAGAAGGTCATGCGGCCTCTAAAGGCCAGTGCGTGCGTGTGTCTTTGTCCACTGTCTATCATCTGTCGCTTTTTCTTCCCATCACTCACACTCACGCCCCCGGTTTCTCTCTCTGAGTCTCCTCCGCGTTGCAAGAGGCTGTCGGAGGCTCGTTAGCCATGTTGACACGGCCACTGCTAACATTGGCTTTGTGCTCTTTAAATGAATCCCGCTCATAGGAGCGCAGTCCAAAGCTAAAATGTGGGAGCCTCGTTGTGTGATAACGCTGCTGGCACTTCAGAGCTTGGGTACAAGGGATGTTTGTGGTTCCCACAGGGAACTTGGCATGGTTTTGCGCTGCTGCCCAGCACAGGCGAACAAAGTGAGAACACGGAAATCTTCCTGGTAGTTATGGGGCAATTGTAAAAATATCAAACACAGACTGTATAAATCTGCAACTCGAAGCCAAACGAAATGGATGATGGTAAACGTAAACAGTTTCAGGAGAACTAGTAAGATGATGTAAGTGAAGACTGACCGAGGCTGTGGGAGAATTACAAATAATTCTAACACACAGTGCAATAACAACATAGTACGTAAATTGCTTTTCCTTCTGCTTTTACTATTACACAGCCAAAAAAAGGAAAGAATGCAGAACGCTGTGTTAAGTGCTCTTTGACAGGACTGAAGGGAACGGAAGCATCAAGCAAGTCAAATCTTTTCCGGCTTCTTGTCCTGCACTGCTGGGAAATTCATCGTATTTTAGGTGGACACCACATGCTTACAACTATGTTTAAACATTAAAGAGTCGTGTTCTATTGATCCCGTAAATGGTATTTCCTTCACTCTTCAAACGCTGAAGGGGAAACGTAACCTTATCCGGGACACAATGGAAGACACGCATTAAAAAATGAGTAATGCGCAAAGAGTAAAGAGGCAGAAAGGAGAGGAGAGCTTTCTTTTTGGAAATAAATTGGCCTGTAGGAGTGAAACATTGACATTTTGGTGGCAGAGGTCAAAACCTACGAGTGTAGGAGTGAATTATTGGTGCAGGGCAGAGAAGACGGCGCTGTGCTTCAATACGTGCGATAGTGAAGACGCATGCGAATACACGCGCTCAGTACGTGAGAGCACATCGCTCTGAAAAGCGCCGTCTCTCAATAAATCACCAGGATTTACTCAAATCACACACGTGCCACAAGACATTCAAAAAATTCAGAATGCTCCCTTTGCCCTCTGCGGCAAATCTGTGATTTTGGACTGTATGAATAAAATTGACTTGAGTTATATAGTGCTACCAATCTACTGAGGATCATGGGGGGAAAAAATCCACTTTCCACACATTGCTTTGTCTCTACAGATTAAAAGGGAATTCCTGCTGTGTGTTGCAGTGATGCCCTGCAGCAGATGTGCTGTTGTGTGGGAGGAATTTAAAATCCACAGCTTGTTCAGGTGAAGGAAGGTCAAGTAGAAGAGAGCCTTTAGTTTTAGGGCGATATCAGCCTCACAATCTCCACAGAGAGAAAGAATATAAGCGAGTCTATAATATAAATAACGCAGCATAATAAAAGGCCTGGCATGAGACGTTTTATGGCAGCAGTAAAAAACAATATTAAAGAGTGCCAAAAAGTATCCAGCACTTACATACAAAAATACAGACACTAGGTTTTTATACAACGAAACAATATGTTTAACTCCGACACCATGAAATAACGAGACACGAGTACAGCAAATTTAGGCCTTATCTATAATCATTTTTTAATGTATGTGACCAACTGTGACCAGTAGTACAGCGTTATGTGTCATGGACCAGCAAAGACAAACAACATAATAGTATATGTTGTGGGTATCCAGCCAGTGGCCACTTATCAAGGACGATGCTTGATATCGGTTATTGGTTTCCTATGTCCATGAGAAACCGCAGCATCCATTTTGCAGCCCTGTCTGAAATGGTTGATTATGTCCCTTGAGCCGATGCCACGCTGCCATGCACCGATAACGACCCCAGGGTCAAACCAACAAGGTCGTGCCCTCTTCTTTCCTAAAGAGTCCTTGCACATGTTTTCCACACAGAACCCCAATTCAGGAACATAATGAATAGTCTGTCATATTTTTTTAAAAAGCGCTGAATAGAGCTGCAAAATAAATGTTCAATTAAGTTAGCAAAGAATGAGAGAAAAGGCCTTTGAGGGTTGTGTTTCTGTGTGTGTGTCATCCTGTACCTCCCACTCCCTTTCGTTCTGCTTTAATAGGCTTTCCTGCTCCTTTGTCACATTTACATTTGAAACCCTTTCCCCCCTCTAACCCTCCTCCAACCCCCAGCGTCCAATAAGGCCAAGCCAGAGGACACTGTTGGTCTTTATGTGACAGCTAAAGAATCCATTATCAGCAGAAAGGAATTACAAAGGAGGCCCAAGTTAATCCGTGTTCTGTAACATCTTCTGTTGGGAAAGAGCAATGCATAGGATCCAAAGTTTGAATGTGGGCCGGGAATCCAATCCATCCCAACAGAGAGCAGATTGGATGGGAGACGTACATGGTGTCCTCTCGTAAAAACACTAGAGCATCGTTTGACGGCTTCTATGGGAAAGTTCTGGGTAAATTCAGGAGTTGGGAAGACTCCACATTTAATATTTGTAAAAGGCTTTGGGACTGTGTTTAACATTTCATAATCCGAAATGCTCTGTGCACTTTCACCGTGACAACCAGGCACCTTTGTAATCAGTTACACACTCTCCTTGGCAGGCTTATCTATTCAATGGGGAAGGGAGACAATTGCTCCATGTGCAGCAAAGAATGTGGTATGAAAATACAAATAAAGTGATCACAAAAGGCCATACACATTGAGGCAGTCTGTTTTTGTTGTTATATTACAGATGTATACACCTCAACTAGCGAGGTTAACTGAGGATAAGTGGATGAGATGAATAGATGAGCTGGTAGTGCTGAAAAATGGAAAAATAGTGGGGAAACAAACTAATCTAATACAAAGGAACAAGAGAGGTAGTGAGAAGGCTGGAACACGCTCAAAATAATCTCCTTCGGATCATCTAATGAACATCTACAGCTGGCAAATAATAAGCATGTCAAGAACACACAAGAAACAACAAGAGATTGAACTCTTCATTTGAAATCAACACTGTCCAACTGCTTGTTTGTTGCCACTCACTTAGATTAGGAAAACTCGCCAATCATCGTTATTTTAACTATAACCCTACGTTAAATTAGAAATGAAAAATATGTTCAGTCTGGAAGATGGAGTTTTGGAATTCACACCATGTTAAATACCTCCTCCAGTCTGGCTAACGACTTGAATAAATGTCATCGGACAAGTGAGGCCGCCGAAGGACTTCGGCTACGCCTGAGCCCACTTGTGACTGCGAGTGATACGCTTCTCATGTTAAGCGCACTGCGGGATCGGGTGTCTGTGCAGGCAGATACAATCCTTTATAGAACTCGGACACATTCCTTTACCCTCACAAAGACGGATTAAGACCAGCAGACATTCCTTTGTACTTTTGTGCTGGATGCGGTGAACAAAAAACATTCAACAGTCTAAAAACGACGCATCTGTTCTTCTCCACCAAAAATGAGTAAATCTCACCGCGGGTGCTGAGGAGGAAGGCCGATGGCTCAGGAAAGCTCGCAGGGGGCTTCCGCAGGTAAACTCTGAGAAGGGTCATCATGGAGGGATGCTGGCTAATACCAAACGACACGCTTTCAGCAGCTGCAGAGAAGAGAAGAAATCTGATACTTGTTTGTCTGCGTGTGTGTGTTTGTATGTGTGTGTGTGTGCGTGTGTGTGTGCGCAGTTAAAGACCAACGGAGGGATCACATAGGAAATATCAAGAAAAAACATGTTGTAAATGTTGACAAGATATCTTTGCGTTTTCCTCAGCGAGCGGTATAAAGTGTTACTTTAGCCGACACCTACGCGGTTAAACTGTTTCGCTTTCAGTTGTCACTTTAGTGTCACAAAGTGTCACTTTACTAAGTGAGATAATGACATACTTACCGGTATTTCATTTAAAAAGAACTTCACTCATTTAAATACAGAGGCAAATTCTCTTATGACCACAGTGGAAATAGAAAGACAGACAGCAGATGATGATGGAGAGGCAAACAGTGGGATTATTAGTACATTGTAGGTAAATAAGGTGCAGGAGTGCAAAAACAAACTTTAAAATAAAGCTTTACATAAAGTCTATCAAAAAACTCTGAGAGAATCCCCACCCCCTAAAAAATAGATGTGCAAACAGATATTACATATAATTTCCTCTTTAACTGCATACACTGTATTTGCACAATGTGCACAGAAGTTCTAACATGATTCTTCGACAAACTGCACAACTTTGGTCATTTACACACTGAAACAGATTTGTCTACTTTGACAGTTGACTGGATGTAGCTTGTAAAAGACGGCGTCATCATTAGGTTAGTCATAGTTCATTGGGCATAAAAAACTACCCAATGAACCAATCAATAAATCTTCAACAGTACCGCATACCCATAAAAGCCTGTTCTGGAGGGTTTATCTGGTTGTTTTGATTAATTCTGTTTAATCCGCTTATTGTTTATTGTTCATAGTGAGCCACCTACTGGTGACAGATGCTATGGATTAGTGTTCCATTAACAAATGTTTGCAGAAAAGAGTATAAAACCATAGTAGAGCTCAAGTTTATCCTCATACTGTCTGCGAAATTTTTTCAAAAAATAACCTGTACCACAATCTCTTAATCAACATTAAAGATAATTCGATTTAAATGTTAGGAGGTATGCTGTAGTAATTTGAAACAACAGTAATCAAACTATGTAAATAAAAGCATAGCGGAGCACAAAACAAAGAGAAACAACATGTTTTTAACACAAAGATTAAACCATCTTTGTACTGCAGAACGATCTAGTGATGTGGTTATAATCCAGATTACTCTACAGCATGAATTAACACACCTCAGGGTGAAATGTCACACAACAGCATTAGTAACAGCACATTATTCTGATATCTTTCAGTGTACCAGTAACCCATAGATGAACTCCTTTACTAATTCTGATTACCAAACTGCCCCCCAAACAAGAAGGCACAGAAATAAATGTCCATTTAAAGGACGCAAACAGAATCTGCTTGATGACTTGTGTACCACTTAAAGAATTGCACACACAGCACCCTCAGAAAAATAACAAGCTTTCAGATGGCTTATTTTGGGTTGATAAAAATCTATCTTTGGTTATCTCTCAGGAGGAGGCCTCCTGTCCCCTCCTCTGGACTTAAAGTCATAATACTCCTTACCCTTTTTCCTCTCATGCTGTCCCTCCACAAAAATCCCCCTGATTCATTGGGTCCTTATCAGTTGCGCTGAAGGGAAAACAAAGGACTGAAACTTGTACTGTTTCCCCGAAGGGTAAACTGGGCAGATAATGCTCCTGTGGCACCACATGTTCTGGGTTTGGAGACAGAATTGGACTTCAGGCCCCCAAAGGGACACTAAAGAGACACTTTTTAGGATAAAACTAGACAATGACAAGTCCAATTTGTTATGTGAACAACACCGGTCCATCAAAACAACCAGAGGTCAAATAAAAGAGGAAATAGTTCAGAGAAAGACTCAGACTATTTACAAGTTTAGCAGATCTGTGTTTGTTTCATTATAAACAAATAAATAAACAAACTGATTGATAAAACCGTTTGTTTAGGGATCTAAGATAAGATTTTTTCAATTAGTACGTTTGGACCAAAAATAGTTTCAAGAGCTTACGTTAACACTCATTTGGGCAAAGAATGACTCGTATGCAAATGCAGTTTGATACACTAGACCAGCGATTCCCAAAGTGTGGGCCCCGGCCCCCTGGTGGGCCGCAAAGGTACTGCAGGTGGGCCGCGAGAGGTCATTTACAATAATAAAAAGTTTTTTAATGTTCAATTTTTAAAAGTTTGAAATGAATATAAAAATATTTATGATGCGGCACATTAGTTATGTGAACCATTAGTTGATGAAGCACAAACAATTTAAACGGACATATATATATATATATATATATATATATATATATATATATATACACACATATACATATATATATATATATATATATATACACATATGCATATAGGTATGGTGCATATTCCTACAGGCCCAGTAGGTTATAAAAAAGTAGGGATAAAAAAGTAAGTGCAGGGTAAAATAAAGTTTGTGCAAGGCTGAGAAGTGTGAGGGAGGGGCAATACCAGGTTCAACTGGAAGAGGAAGGTAGAGGGAGAATTAATTAAGATAAGAAAGATAAATATATGAGAGTGGGATAAGCTCCACAAAGAGATGATTTTTCAATTTGTGCCAGAAGATTAGGGATGACTGTGCGGTTTTGAATTGGAGGTGTGGGGGAGGGGGGTGGTCGTGAGGAGACCATGTGCAGAGACGTCCACATTCCCACAGGGGACAGGCGAGCACCTGGTGTTGGCGGACCGGCTGCTCACCCAATTACGCGAGTGACCCATCAGGATGGGAGGCGCCGGGCAGAACAAATACTTAATTATGATCCAACTAGAAATGATGAAAATAACGTTACCTCTTCCTTTCAAAGCAGCTCGGAGAACCTTCTGACTGAGTAAAAAGGCCAAAGGCCCTCTCCAGGGCCAGTGTTTGGTTTGTCCCATCTGGTCTACAATGGAAACATGGCAGGGTGAGATGGAGAAACCAGCTCCCTTTATGGAAATACAGAGACAAGAAGAAAACGCAACAATAACCCCTTTCAGTGGAATATACACTCATGAAAACCTAATAATGAAGATTATATTCCATCTCTGCCAATTAATCCCCCTAAAGCTTACACACTTCCAAAGGAATGAAAAGGAGATTCAAGTAAAGTACGCCAGTAAATATTTAGTACATGGTGTGCAGAAGGTATTGCAGCTGTTGATTACTATTAGGAGAACTGATCATTCTTATCAGATAAATGCCAAACATTCTCCACTTCCCACATATTTTGCTTTAGCTAACTGGTCTTTTTTGAGACCAGTTTATATATTTTTACTTACAAACTTGATTTTTGTTTGCAATGCAAGAAATTTGCTCTCAAACCAGTTTTTTTTGTTTGCATAATAAAGACACAAATCTACCTTCATAAAGTAACTATCTCCTCTTTAATGCAGTTAATGTCAATATTAGCTCATTTACACATGAAATCCCTGTGTTTTTCACCGAAAGGACAGTTACACAAAAGCTGTACAAAAATGTGTATTGCAACATGGCTCATATGAATGTACTACGGGAATGGAGCCTTTATATCGGTTAATTTCCTGTTTTCACTTATTAGTGATTAGTATTTCACCAGCACAAGTTAAGAGAAATGCAGATACATTAAAAAACTGCAGCCGTAATCTGATGGGCCAATATTCATTTATCATTTCACTCATTATTTCAGTCATTTGCTAGAGGTTCATAGACGCTACAGAGGACTTAACTGATTCAGATTTGTTCACTTTGCTTCCATTGTATCTGCTGATTGTGCAGGATGGTTTGAATTTAACACTGAGGCGGCCCGAGCTACATTTACTACACCATTTAAAGTTTTAACAAAAAGGCAAATGGCACAACCTACTGGGCATATTATGAAATACATCGTTAAAAGTGTATCCTGTCTTTACCATAAATTATTGCTGATTTCCTAATTGTAGCTCCAAATGGACAGAAAAGTAAAATACCTTTACTATAAACTAAAACTGAACATTGACCTATTTAATAAGCAGCCATGTGCATTCAAAGTTTCTGCAACATCTAGTCACGTTTAACCACAAGAGTCCCCTCTCTAGTCACAGTCGTTTTCTATTAATTTGAACATAACTTTATACTCAAAAAACTTGCTGTGGCCTTCGGCACTCCATCCACGTATAACCATACTGCAAATATTGCAGGAATGAATAACTGTATTATCTTATATTATCTGAAAAATATTATAACCAGGTTGTCATTAAATTAATGTCACTTTCTGCCGCCATCTTTGTTTGACTGAACCTCTACAAACCGTCAGCCTACGACCCGGTGCATAAGGTGAATAGGCCAATTTTGTTTACCAGTTGAGAGTCGTACCCTTTAAACTTCTTCAAGACAGCCATAATTGCTTGTCAAGTATTCTGCGGTTTTTTGAAAACACAATGCTTGTATTTAAGTGGAAAAAGATAACGTTAATTAAGCTAAAGTAAGCTCTGCGACTTTGGGTCAACGCAAAAACGTCTGGTGCAGATGTCACTCAAAGCCTACCTTTGCTTGAAGAGGGAGATAAGACTTTTTAGGTCAAACAGGAACTGCACACATGTTTTTGAGAACGTAAACCGAAGAATAATTCGTGTTAATATGTCAATGATTATTAACATAGGAACGTCGTGGAAACTCATTGTACCATTCAGCAGTGCAATGGACGGGACAATTTAACAGCGCATGCGCAACAGGCAACCATGACAACTGCGATTGGAAATTGTGTCCACTAGCGTCGTCAAGGTAACGTTACAGTATGGTATTGTTTCGGAGGTGTACATAATGCTAAGCTATTTTTACAGTCTCGTGTGGCAGTAATAACCACTGTCGCTGTATGGACGTTATGAAGTGGCGGCAAAGGACACTCATGTCACTTTAACGACAACTGACGTTAGAACTCTGACCTCTTTCAACCCGGAAGAACATGCTGGTGGGAAGGAAGTTCTAAACGTGCTCTTTTGAGCTAACGTTAGCAAGTTAGCGTGAATGAGGTTGTCGCTAACTGAAACGGTATTTCTCAGAAAATATCCGAGGCTTTGTTTTATAAGCAAGTAGTTTACAAGAGGATAATTAAAACTCCGAAATTCTTCGATGCTTCCTTCGATTGTAACGTTAGCGAACTTAGATGTCACGTAACAGCGTCTATGAACATCATCGGCATATCATTACATACTATTAACACCATTAACATTGAGTCAAATCAACAATAATGTTGACCAAGGCTGGTAGTGAACAGGCTGTTTGATATCACACCGGATAACCGGATCACAACCGGATTGATCCGTCGCCAGAGAAGTGTGCCAAAACTATAACACCAGGTGAACTTACATCTTTGACAGCCATGGAGTTTCTCCCCGTACTTGACCCTCTAAATGAACCCAAAAAAGGAATATGGTGAGTTAAATTCGATGATTGATTTGCACCCGTGTTGCAATCAGCTGACCGTTTTAATTGTTTTCTTATCAACAGGTATTCTTTGATACCCGGGGGGGCTGCTCCAGGTGTTAGTGTGGGTCACACCTGCACCTTCATCCCGTCTGAAGATGGAGGAAAAGGAAGAATCTTTATTGTTGGGGGAGCCAACCCCAGCGGCAGTTTCTCACATTCATACATAATAAATCTAGGTAAGAAATGTCAGGATACAATCTGTCTAAGGATTTGCATTGGGGTTCTACTACTTTTAAGCGCTTCAATAAAACATCTACAAGATTTTTATTGTTAAAACTAATTTGTGTTTTACAGCTTTTGTGGGTAGTTGTTTTGAAGAGATTTCCAACCATGTACAATTCAGTGTATAATTAAACAAAGTTTTTCTAGATATCACAACCACAGTTGCAACAATATGGATAAACCTCCTACCACGAGGATTATTAACATAACTTGAGCTATAATTACAATACTGGGTCGGGTCATCATTGGGTTCCCTTTTTTCTCCTGTCTGACTCTACCAGATAATCATGAATGGGACATCCCAGAGTGGGAGGATTTCGAGTCCCGATATGAACACTGTAGCTTTGTGCCGGAGAGCTGCCCTCAGAGCCTGTGGGTGTTCGGAGGGGCACAACAGAGTGGCAATCGCAATTGTATCCAGAATATACAGCTAGCAGGTAACTTTCAAATCTAAATTCTTAGTTATCTATGGTCTTTATTAGAAATTTAGCACTGCAGTGATTTTTCAGATTAACGGTTTCACTCAAAGAAGAGCACATGAAATGGGCTGCAGGGGTTTTCTGTGTTGTAACCAATGTTTTTGACAACGATTGTATCGTATTTGACCGTAGATTTTTGTAAACTGTGTGTAATCCATTCTTTGCATGTGGGTCCAGAAAGTGGGTCTCGCTGGAAGAATTTACTGGTCAATGGCCAACCCCCCAGTCCTAGGACATACCACACCAACTCAGCGTGCCAAGGGGACCGGCTGTATGTCTGTTGTGGTGGGGAAGCAGGCGCTTCACCAGTCTCAGACCCAAAACTCCATGTCTTTGATACAGGTTTGTATTCAATACCTTATAAACATACCTCCAAAACACAGGTATTGTCTCCCCAACAATAAAACAATTTGTCTGAAAGCCCCTTAGGCTAATGACTGGTCATACAGCATGGTGATAAAGACCTTGTGAAGCAGTGATTGTACACTTTACTGTCTACTACATATTACATGCAGCAATGTGAACGCCTAGTCCACCCCTTTGAAGGTTTGACCATCCTGTGTATCTTTTGGTGATTCCCAGTGTCGTCCACCTGGTCTCAGCCGGGAACACAAGGCAGAATCCCGCCAGCCAGACATGGCCACATTGTCGCTGTAGTTGGTTCAAAGATCTACATTCATGGAGGCATGGCTGGAGACAAATTCCACAATGATATGTACTCTCTTGATACAAGTAAGCTTGAACTCGCTTGAGGATCAATGTTTTACCGATTGCATTTGTCTCAGATGATGAAAATGACCCTCAGAACGAGAACCTTCATTTTTAAGAAAATAAAGTCTGTTTACAGAGAGCATGAAGTGGGAGAAAGTGCAGGCCAAAGGAGACGTCCCACAGGGAGTAGCAGCCCACTCAGCTGTGGTGCTGGGCAAGAACATATACATATTTGGAGGGATGACCGCTGATGGGGCCAGCAACGTTATGCACAGATTTGACACCGGTACATTTTGCATTCATACACCATTGTTTTAGACTATAAATTCTACATGGCAGCAGTACACTATAAACCGTCAATACTTGAACTGACACTATCGTACTTCCTGCTTGCAGTCAAACGTAGATGGGTCCTTTTGAAGTTTGAAGGGGATATACCACCCAACCGCCTCGACCACGCCATGTGTTTATTGCCCTGGACGGTGTGTGAAGAGGATGAGGAAGTCAACAGCCAAGTGGCCACAAAGACAATTCACTTGGCATTTGTGTTTGGAGGAATGGACACCCAGGGAGTCATTCATAATGACTGCGTTGTGACTGTAATAACATGATGTTCCTTTAAATTTCAATGAATGTTTAAGGACTTGCAATTGCATAATGTATTCAAATCTCTATGAGGCTTTAATGCTGACATTGGCATAAATATTGCAAAACAAATGCTGAAACCATTAACATGACAAATGTTCAAGTGTTTCAATGTTGTAAATAAGACTCAAAGTAACATTTTGTATCAAACATTTATTTCAATGTCCAGACGTACAATGACCAGATTCAATAAATAACTTTTAGCATTGCCTGTGAACATAATGGGTTCTTGATCTCACAGACACCCAACTCACTGAACCCACGAATACCAGTCCCCCTCCCTCTAAGTCCCTCCCCCCCTCCCCTTCAGGACTGCCTCAGAACAGCAGTAAGCCTCTTATCCGGGCTGACGAATATCTCCACCTTCCAGCGAAGAGAACACCTCCCTCACACTGAACTTATTTTAAAGTCTTTCAGAAGATTCAGTGTAGTTGCTTGTAATCGCCAACCCTCCCCAACCATTCCTCTCACTAGGAGTCCCATCAGTCCAATATATACATCTAGACGCAACTACCAGAGAGGCAAGGATCAACAGAAGACTTGAATCTTCCTACAACTCATCCTTCTCCTCTGGCTCACCTTCAGCCCCCTCAGGTGGAGGGGCACCCGCACTGCCATAAAGCTTGCTGATGATGGGCTGAACCACCTCCTCCAGCTCCTTTTTCTTGGCCTGGAAGTCTTCCAGCTCAGCTTCCTGGTGGGACTCCATCCACTCGATCTTCTCCTCCACTGCCTTCTCGATGGTTTCCTTGTCCTCGTCCGACAGCTTGCCACCGAGCTTCTCCTTGTCGCCGATCTGGTTCTTCAGTGAGTAGGCGTAGCTTTCCAGCTCGTTGCGGGCGTCGATTCTCTCCTTCAGCTTCTTGTCCTCGTCAGCGAAGCGCTCAGCGTCGTTCACCATGCGCTCAATGTCCTCTGGCGTCAGGCGGTTCTGGTCGTTTGTGATCGTGATCTTGTTCTTGTTGCCCGTGCCTTTGTCCTCTGCGGTGACGCGCAGGATGCCGTTGACGTCGATCTCAAAGGTGACCTCAATCTGGGGCACGCCACGAGGGGCGGGGGGGATGCCGGTCAGGTCGAAGGTGCCCAGCAGATGGTTGTCTTTAGTCAGTGGGCGTTCCCCTAAAAGGACAAATGATTAAACCATTAAAATGTTTAATTCTTGCTGCATGCAAGGAAGATATGCACAACACATGTTGAAAACATTAGTTCTGTTCAAATCGTACCTTCATAAACTTTAATCGTGACAGTAGGCTGGTTATCAGAGGCTGTGGAGAAGATCTGGGATTTCTTTGTGGGCACCACAGTGTTCCTGGGGATCAGCTTGGTCATTACGCCTCCAACGGTCTCAATACCAAGGGTCAGCGGGCACACATCCAGAAGAACCAGATCGCCTGCAGGAGGAAGAAAATCGTTAGAAAACTGGCAAAAAGTTTGTGAGATTGGTTGAGTCAAGCGATTGCTACGGTGCATGAGGCGGGAAGACTACATACCGGTGTCCTCTTCTCCGGAAAGCACTCCAGCCTGCACAGCAGCTCCGTATGCCACCGCCTCGTCGGGGTTGATGCCCCTGGAGGGCTCTTTGCCATTGAACAACTCCTTCACCAACTGTTGGATTTTAGGGATGCGGGTGGAGCCTCCAACCAGGACAATCTCATCAATGTCGGATTTCTTCAAGTCGGAGTCATCCAGCACTTTCTGTACAGGCTTCATGGTGGAACGGAACAGGTCCTGGCAAAGCAAAAGACATGGTTAAAAGACTCGTCTAACTAGGTTTTTGTAAAGACGGGATGTAGTACATGGCCATTGTTTTTAGAAAATGTTGTGCAGCATACCATGTTGAGCTCTTCAAACTTGGCACGGGTCAGGGTCTCTGAGAAGTCTTCTCCCTCGAAAAAGGACTCGATCTCGATGCGGGCCTGGTGCTGAGCGGAGAGCCCCCTCTTTGCCTTCTCAACCTCACGACGCAGCTTCTGCACAGCGCGGTTGTCTTTGCGCACGTCTTTTCCGGTCTTCTTCTTGTACAGCTTGATGAAGTGCTCCATGACGCGCTGGTCAAAGTCCTCGCCTCCCAGATGGGTGTCACCGTTGGTGGCCACAACCTCAAACACGCCGTTGTCGATGGTCAAAAGGGAGACGTCGAAAGTGCCGCCACCAAGGTCAAACACCAGAATGTTCTTCTCGCCATCCCTCTTGTCTAGACCATAAGCAATCGCGGCAGCAGTTCTGTAGAATAAAGTTATGAGAGTACATTACAAAGACATTCACAATTTCAGAAAAGGAGGACAATATATTAAATCATTTTTATTTAGACACTTACGGCTCATTGATGATTCTCATAACATTCAGACCAGCGATGGTTCCGGCATCCTTGGTGGCCTGGCGCTGAGCATCATTGAAGTAGGCAGGGACAGTGACCACTGCGTGTGTGACCTGAAGAAAATTTGAGAAAATTAGATAGTCTTCAAGTGTTATATCCTTTGACAAATATTTTATGGAGGGTGGGGGGGCTTGTACCTTCTTGCCCAGATAAGCCTCAGCAGTCTCCTTCATCTTAGTCAGCACCATGGCAGAGATCTCCTCTGGAGCGAAGGTCTTCAGCTGGCCACCACCGATGTCAACCTGAATATGAGGCTTGCTCTTCTTCTCAGTAACCTGAAGATAGAACATACATCAATATTATTGTACCAAGTATGCTTCTCAAAATAATCGTTAAACCCTACAACTTGCCCGTGTCAAAGAGAGTAAAAACTCACCTTGAAGGGAAAGTACTTCAGGTCCTGCTGCACAGCGGAGTCTCCCCAAGTACGCCCGATCAATCGCTTGGCATCAAAGACCGTGTTCTCGGGGTTAGAGGTCAGCTGGTTCTTTGCAGCATCCCCAATCAGACGCTCGCCCTCTGCGGTGAAGGCCACATATGACGGGGTGATACGATTACCCTGGTCATTGGCAATGATCTCCACGCGGCCGTTCTTAAACACTCCAACACTGCAGGAAAAATAGATTAGAAATGATCAACATTGCTCATGAGGCAACAATTTACATTGCATCATTAAATAGTCAAACAATTATGACAGGTGACACTTTTGGGATGGGGGGGATTTACCATGAGTAGGTGGTCCCCAGGTCGATTCCTACGACGGTCCCGACACTCTCCTTCTTGTCGTCGTCATCGGCCCACACGGTGCCGGCGACCAGCATCACAGCCAGCAACAGCTTCATCTTTGCTTGTGTGAACTCAGATCTACAATAGAAATCTGGGGAAGAGAAACAGAACGTTAATGTTTAATGTTTAAAAAAAAAAAAAAAAAAAAAAAAAACGTGGCATGGTCATGACGTAAGCGATCGTACCTCCTAAATTCAGTTAGCTACCAGCTAGTTGTACTGGGTGAAATTGTAACCCTTATTAGGACTTTCCCCAAACCCCAGAAAATGTCAAGCGCACGACCCTTGAAGGATCAATGGGGAAGTGGGTGGAGCACCGCAGCCTCTGTCTGATCTAAAGAGCACCCCCCCCCCACACACACCTCTATCTGCCGGCAGTTAGCTAACCACGTTAGCGTGCCAAGCGAGGAGGAAACGGTTGCAATTGCAGTGACTGGCTGTGTGATTTTAAAAGTCATGGAATACGTTGTATAAATAACCCCGCTTATTGTCATACATAATTATAATTCAGCGTAACCGTTAGGACCAGCTGGCTGCACCATCATGGAACGGTCTTGAAATGAGTTTCAAAATTGTAGGAAAAAAGCAAATGCGTAATCGCATCATCAAATTCATGTTAATACGTACCTTATTTGCAGAAAGTATGTCCGTGAATTAACGGCCTTGACGCTGCCTGCTATAACAAAAAAAGTCTTCTTCCTTCTATCCTTTATTCGTGCCTCGGCGAAGTGATGTTGAATGGACCGTGCTCTCTCAATATATAAGCCGTCACTTCTTCCCTGTCGTGGAGCTACCTGATTGGCTGAGCACCAACTCGTTGGAAGGCGCTGATTGGTGTCGTCCGGCACGCTGTCCGCCGCTGATTTGCACCCGTCGGGTTGGGGTGACGTCACGACTTTTGCCCACTGTGCCGATGCTGATTGGCTCTCAAGGCGCATTCATGAACATCGTTGGAGCGAGGACACGCCACTCTACAGCATCAGGAAGAGGTCACATTTTATACATTGGAAATTAGTACTGATTATTTAAAAAATGGTTCCCTCTTTATTGAAATGAATTTTCTGCTCTTTAAAGGGAGGCGATTTTCAGTTTTACCGTGTTGATGTTATGAAAAGAAATGGTAACACACTATAATTAGTAAGACATGTGCAAACCTTGGGTTGCATGTAACTGACAGATTCAATAAAAAGCAGACTGTTACATCAGATCGACTGGATTGTTTGTATGTTGCATCAGTGCAAGTCCATGAAATTATGGTTTAAGACATCCAACTTGAAAAGCTAGAAGTCTGCAATTAATTGACTTATCAAGTTTTAGCATAGGCCTTCTCTAGACTTGTTTCCGTGCTCATATATCACAGATGTATGTAATTATTTTGTACACTTTGGATTCAGCAGGTCACGGGCCGTATCAAACAAAACTACATTACTTGAGTGTTCTAGTACAATGCTCTCTTTCAAAAGTCTAAATAGGTCAATGTTAGATAACTGGTTTCCAAAGCCACATACACTTCAATCTATATGAACCCTCTTCTGGTGCAGGGGGCATGCCTAGTCATCATTATCACTTGGTATGTTTGGCTAAATATGAGCAACAAAGAGAGAAATACTGTTATTACAAAAATAAAAGTGATGGGTGACATTGGTGATATTAGTGCACTTTTTTCCTCAGCAAATCTACTTGTGTGAGAGTGTGGCGTAGAATCAATTATTATTTTATTGATGATGTTGCTGGAATTTCTTTTTGTATATTCAAGATTCACATTCAACATTCATGAAATAGTCGGTTTTTTGTTTCAGGAAAACCATTGAAATGACAAGAAAACATGAAGAAACAATTTCATTTTAGAGTTTTACTGCAACATAGTTTCCTTTTCTTTTAAACAAGAAAGAGGGATGCATGCAGCAAATAATTGTAAAACAATACTAAGAAATAGAATTTCAGAGTTGCCTGCGATCCACTGCTCTAGATGGGTCAAGTCTTGAGACATAATATAAAATCTTTGATTCTTGACATAATATAAGGACTCCTTGACGTCATGTCAGGTTAGATCTATAAAAAAAAGAAAAGTCAAAAGAAATAAATGGAATATTAGGATAATATGAATCTCAGTGATAAACAAAGTACTTAGTTTGTTTGTCTGTTATGTGAAGATACATCACAATCCATGATTTTGTTAAAACATTTCTGACGGCCATAATGATTTCACTTGTCACAAATGTTCATCCCCGGTAGGACCTTAAACTAAACTGGTCCTAAATATGAGTCTTAAACAATGTCCACTTGTCTTTTAGTTTGCCGGATCTTCCTAGTGTCAGCAGGTGCTCTGCAGTATTTATTCTCCAGTGACATGTTAGTTAAGTCGCATGTAATTAAGTGTAATAAGAGATGTTTAAATCACCGAAGAGTTCGTTTGTTCACCTGTATTTGCCCTGTCATAGTCTCTATTGAGATAGGCATAATGCTCAGCACTGCACAAATAATAATTATTAACATTGGCAAAATTAAAAGAAAATTACATAGCATTACATTTTTCTGAGAAATGAAATGATGGTGGGTATGTTTCTTATGGAAGTTGAAAAAGTAAACAAAACCCCCGTGGTTGCAAATTTTATTCAATGACAGACAAAGTCTCAAACACAAACTAGTGTCACGGATTACACAAAGCAAGACAAGTAGTATAGGTAAAGACAACCTGATTCCCTTATATTTAATTGTAAACATTGCTTGAGGTATTTAACAATCAATAAAATAATGTGGCCATACCACCATGGACCGTGTACGTATAACACATGAGATCCCCACGCGACTCCTACCGGCAGAGACACCAACGGGCACCAGACTGATGACGTGGTCCCGTCTGTCTTTGACCAGAGCAGCAGTATGGCCGACCAGAGCAGGCAAATTAAACTCGCTGCAGCTAAGAAAAAGGTAAAGTATGTCACGCCTGACCCGCTTAAATAATACCAGAAGGACCTTCCCCCGTCTCTCCTCTGTCGCTTTGCCCCGCTGCTGTTTTCTTCGGTTTTGTTAGTCATGTCTTAACGGAGCAGGGGTGTTGTCGTTCCACGTCGCCCGACCTCTGCGCGCTCGCTTGTCCCGCTTCTCTCGCTCCTTTGGAGGCTACAATGCGCAGGAGAGATCGGTGCTCTTTCGGGCCGCGGTTGATAGCATTAACTTTCCCAGATCATTATTTTTTTTTTATTGTATAGGTGTTTAAACACTCCTACGCCGTCTAACTTACTCCCTTTACCCAAGGGTTTAATGTCCGCTAACGTTAAATGTGCTTCGCGTTATCAGCTAACGCTCTAACGTTAGCTAACTAAGGCAAGTTAACGTTAGCAAGCTGGCTAAGTAATGAGTAGTTTGTTATGAATGAGTTTAAATAATGATACACAGCTGCTCCGTATACTTATTTAATGGAATTGTCAACAAAAAGCGATTTTAAAACAAACGCTGAGCTAGCATTGAAGCACAGTTGGAATGATAGAATGACGGGGGCTGTTTTGACAGCTGACACCCCTCTTCCCCGTCCGGCTGTGTGCTACAGCTAACGTTAGCTAACGTTAGGTGTGTTGGGCCACTCAAAAGGATGGTGTTATCAGCTGTGAAATGTTGGCTGCAGGAAGTGACTCCTAAGTATTTTTTGATGCCCGACAATGATCGCGGATGAGCTGTGTTGGTGATAACACTTGGCACTTCAACCACACGGTTTGCTGCAAGTCAACAGCTGTATGTTGTTTGGTTTAGCAAGTCGTTGAACGGGTAAGTCAAAGTGACACAGTCCATAACTCGACTGTGCATTTCACTAAACAATTGAAACCGGATCTTTGACTAGCTGGGAGCAGATGTGGGATCAGTCCATCTCCGCTTCATCTCGGTCCAGTTAGCTTGACGAGCCCCTCCAGTGGTTAGAGATTGCTTGTTATGATCAATGTGAGCTTGGAAGTCAGGGGAACGTTCTACTGCAAGATTTGTTGGGGGAGGTAATAAAGTGTAATTTTGTTAAAAAGACAGCAGAGTGGATTTTCCTTCCCGCTGCACTTCTCACATATCTATTGTTTCCTTTTCTTATGTGCTCCTCAGCTGAAGGAGTTTCAGCAGAAGAGCTCCCCTGTTAGTGTGGGAGTAGAAAAGGGCGGAGGAGGAGGAGGCGGAGGTGGTGGAGGTGGTGGAGGTGGAGGTGGTGGAGGGGCCAAGAAGAAGAGGAAAGTGAAGGGACTAAACCAACACGATGCACCTTCAACAGACAGAAACTCTCCAGACAATGTAAGTCGGTCCCATGCACTCTTTCCAAATATCTACCTGCTTTTCATTCTGTTTTTTTGTTTTATTTATATAACTTCCCCTTTTGCTTAACATTTTACGGTATTCTGTAAAATAGATTTCTAGAATAGTTTTTTGTATTTTAAACACTGTTATAGCATTAGAAATCATTTGAACTCACCGATACGATTTTTATAATGGGCAGTTTTTCATGTAAATGTAATGCAAATTCATTGCAACATTTTGAGGGAAAAAAAAGTTCAATTTTATGGTAACTATGGGAAACAACACAGTAACCACAATGACAGGAGTCAGAGTTAGTTTTAGCCCATAACCATAAAACGTATCCAAATTTAATACCAAGGTCTTTACATTCACCTGATCTTTGTCTTCGCTGAGACACATTTGTTATGATGTTGCCATTCTGACTAGCGGTCTCGTCTCTTTCTATTGAAAGCTCCTTGCTGCTCTTGTTAAGGAGCAGAATGCGGACAGATGTACGTGGATTAACTCGTCCTTATCAAGTGTGATTAGTAAAAATCGATGACCATAATCGGGGAAGCACTGAACTTTTTTTAACATTTCAAAATTAGGATTAAGATTAGAAAATTAGATTAGAAGATTCAAATTAGAAATAACACACGGGTCATGGGTTTCTTGTCAATGCTTCACTACATTTCAAAATAAAGCACCCTCTACTTCCGAGAGGTTTTCACGTTGTGGTCCGCTTTAAAGCGTTTAAAGCTTAAGCACAAGAAGGTTCAGATGAGGAAAGAACCGTTAGACATGTGACTCCAGCACAGAGCTTTCACACTTTGAGTGTCATTCAGGTCAGTTCCCATGGACGACGTCAGTGAGTAATTCACTAAGCCTGCTTGGAGTCTTGTTCTGATTCATTTCTTTTTCATAGACAAACATGTTTAAATTTGGTTGTTTAAGAATGGATGCTGGCGATAACCAAATGGAGTTCCGACTTAGGGGTCCGAGCACGGGGGTTATATTACAATAATTGGCATGCCATTGATGAAGATGATAATTGATGTTAGTAGGATTCCTGTTTTTTATCTTCTTACTTAAACATAGTTCCTTGGCCTTTAGGAAGAACACACTATTACATGATACACGATATTTGCTGACCTCTTGCGCCGGGCATACTTTCCTCACTTATCCTCATCATGCACGCTAGTAATCACTTCTTAACTCCCTTCTACCAAGTTTTCTTGTAGCAGCTGCTTCTCTGTGCCTATATGTTACTTCTCTAAATAGTTCTGTCCCCTTCACGTTTTCTGCCCTTGTTTCTTCTTTCCTGAAGTTTGACTGTATTCTGAAAGCACTTAGTCAAAGCAATGGAGTAGTCCTGCCTCCTTATGGCAACAGTCAGGTGAGCCTCTCTCTCTCTTCCGCTTCTACCTGCTTTTTTTTCCTTCTGCTGTTAACAGCTGCTTTGCATGTCACATTCCAATTTGTACCTCACCTCCCCATTCTTACCTCAAGTGCACACACATTCTTCTCCTTTTTCTATCATCTAGCATGTGATACAAATTCTTGCATCTGTCTTTCTGACATTTCTGTGCAAGGGAGGGCATTATCTGTTAAGAGTTTGTTTGAGTGTTTTTGTAACTGTCTGGAGTTCTGTAGTCTCACTAGTGCCATGGCTGCTTTAACTGCATTGTGCAGAACAAGCAATGTATCTTAATCTTCTCTTTGCCAGGTTTGGGTTTTGTTTTGTGATTGTTTTATGCCGGAGTTAGTTGATTACAGATGTCTGGCTTGCATTAGCTTTAAGCTCAGAGTGTAAAAAAAGACAAGTAATTTCATTTATCAGTCTTTTGATTCAATATAGTCATTTGTACAGCAAAGTTCGAGCATTTCAGTGCTTTCATGCCATGTTCCAGATGCCACTGTGGTGAAAAACATTGGGCATTTGCGTAACAGCTGTCACTATAAGTAACAAAGTTGAAGTTCTGCAGCTATTTGCCCCAGATATAGATCCCCTCAGAGGACCTCTATTTTCTTATTAAGCATGAATTCATCTGGAAATATAAATTACTTAATTGGGTCGACTAAACTATGACATCGCAAGATTTATAACTGTCATCAAGTTATTTCCATGCACCGAAAAAACATAAATGTTTGTGACGTCATTACTTTTTCATCATAACTACGCTTGTTTTTGCCATTAAACCAGCGTGTGAATTTTTTGTGTATGTGTCACCTCAGGCCTTTGCTGACATGGAGGCCATTGGGTCGATGGAGGAGTCAAAGGGCGAGCTGGGTCCTGGCTCACCAGTGTCTAACCTTGCTAGCATTAACGCTGCTACTAACCCTGAGTCTGTTGGTCACAACGATGACCTCCAGGTGTGTGTGTCTCTGTCATTCTCTGTCTCGCTTTTCTGGTTTGTCCTTCATATGTAAGATTAGATGCCTAGACCTTTTAGAGCCATTATGTTGATTGGCGGTAGCTGTATTTTGGCTGATATGGGTGACAAAAACGACAGATGCCTTCTTTGTTTGGGATGTGCTTTTTTCTTCTCACATTTTTTTTTCTGTTGTCCTTCCTTGACTCTGTCGACTTGTAACTCTTTTCCCCTCTTTCTGCAGGACTATCCCGATACCAACGGAAATGGGCGTTTAAAAGAAGAAAATAGGTAGGTTTCTCGATTCCTCACTGCTTATGAAAAACCCTTGTATCTTTCTGTGGAAACACACACTGTATACAAAACAGATGTTACATGGTAATTAACAACAGTAAGCGACTGGGTATAAGTACTGGAGAATAACAGAAAATGCTTTGGAAACATATTCAATAACATTAATTTATCATCAGCATATTTACCATTTGTAATAAACATACAAGCCTTCTATTATAACATTTGTAGTGAATTAGGTATAATAAGAAATATTGCTTTGGAAATATATTTGATTACTAATGCAGCATAGTAAACTACCTGGTTAATGCGTGTGATTGATTAGTTATGTCTGTTATCTTGCAGACCACTGTCTTCCACAGAGAGCCTGCGGCAGCTCTCGCAGCAGCTAAACGGCCTCGTCTCTGAGGTACGGTGTTAGGACCGCTAATGTCCTCACTAACTCACTTACACACGCACACACACACGTTGTTTCATCACAGATTCTTTTCTTTTGGGATGCGTTCCATCTATTCTTAGCAGGAATGTTCTGGAGGCATTTTCAGATTTACCAGTTGTTCCCTAACGCCTCAAGCACACCGCACATGCTTTATGCATTTCCTCTGAACTTAGTTTCAGTCTAACACGGTCAGCAGCAAATCACAGTGTGCTCTTTGTCATATAATCAAGCCTTGGTTTACCTTCTATCTGCTGAGTAAGAGGACTAAGGAGTGGGTCAGGAGTGGGTATTTTATGATTATAATAAGCACCCAATTTTATTGTACATTTGAGCAGGAAATATGTTTAAGTTGTGTTGCCCAACTTGGAAATGCAGGTGTTATAATTGATGACTAAACTGATCGCCCATCTGCAATGCATCTAGTACATTTTGGCTTTAAGTTCATTATATTGAAACACCTTCATAATTCTTCTTATAAATGTCTACACAAGCGTTTGTTTTCCAATTGCGATGTTGTCATTTGGGGCACCATTGATTTGCATTAATGTACTTGTCTGTGTCATTGTAGTCATCTCCTGCGTATGTCAATGGGGACAGTCCACCTTCTGTTAGTGAGAGAGAGCTGGAGGTAAGAAACCCCCGAGTCAGTCAAGTCATGATCAGGTTCAAATTCAATACTATTCAGTTTACCGGGTGAGATCCAATGTATCCTAATATGATGCGACCAATGGAGGTGTATGATTTATTTGTTAGGACTGTAGAAGAAGTATAGAAACACACTATTAATAATATATTCACAATCACTGTGTATTTTATTGTGTATTTGACTTCATTTCTCATTGTTGAAAACACATTTTTACTCCACTTGTAAGTGCTATTGTTTTCCTCCATGTTAATAATTCACATTGCAAATCTTTGTTTGACTATTGCCACTGCACCTTATCCCTCTCTTCCCGTTTTTTTACTTTCCTCCTTTCCCGGATGCATGTGTGCACGTGATAGGGTCGGAGCCAGGAGCTGGCAGCTGCCCTGGAGTCCAGCAAGCTAACAAACTCTCAGTTAAATACCAAGCTAGACCAGCTGGTAAGAAGCTGTTTGTGTGTGTGTGTAGGGTCTTCTGTGTGATTGGAGTGACCTCATTCTAGCCATTTCACAATTACTACATTAGTGCATGTACCATATGCATTCTGCATGGCATCTTGAATATCTACACACAGGAAGAATTTCTGCATGTATCCTGTATCTTTTTATTTATTTTTTGCTTCAGTTGACTAAAATGTTTTTCCACCGGATAAGGAACAATATGGGCACACTTCATTCAGAGTTTTCATAACCTGATGGCAAATGCCTTCTTGACTAACAGTAATGAGCTCTGAGCTTCAAATATAGTTAAAAGGTTAGCATAACATAGATAACAGAACAGGTTTCTCATTTCAGTACCTTATGCTGTCTCAGTCCGGTCTGGCTTTCAGGGGTTTTGTTGCAGGATTATATTTGTTTTCTAGCGTTAGAGTTGCTGCAGAGGTCATAAAAGGAATGTTAATCTTTCCAAAACTTAACGTGTATCCTTTGGCAGGCACAGCAATCTCAGGTGCTTTCCGATCAGCTACAAAAGGTAAACCTTTTTATTTATATTTTTTCATCCTGTCTACTAAATTTTTTACTTCCTTTTCTTGGGATTCATTCTTTGATATTTTTCTTCCTTCAGGAGCGAAAAGACTTTGAACAGAGATTTTCAAAAGAGCAGGGAGCCATGCGAGAGCAACTGCAGGTAACTTGTGCCTTTTGTATTGTATCTGATCTGAGAACATATTTGGCAAGAATAATATGTGTTCTGTTGAGAAATGCTGAATGACTGAACATTATTACTGTCTACATTTATATTTAGTTGACATTATTTAATGAGGGGACTAAAATCATGACAGTATCTAGTGTCATGTTGTTGTTTGTATGTCCTCTCCCAAGGTCCACATCCAGACCATTGGTATCCTGGTATCTGAAAAATCAGAGTTACAAACGGCACTACAATACACACAGCAGGCCGCACGGCAGAAAGCAGGTGTGTGTGTGTTATCGGCTGTACATGCACTTAAACAAAACATCGTAATCTTGGCTAGACCATAATTAACAGTTCTGTGTCTCTCTTTCTTTGTGTGTAGCTGAAGCAGAAGAGTTGAACAACCGTCTGCAGGTAACAAAGCAGAGAGTTTCCGAGCTGGAGAGAACGCTTTCTTCTGTCTCAACACAGCAGAAACAGTTTGAAAAGGTAACGCAAATTGCAGTTATTACCCCTAAAAGGTTTCATCCAGATAGAGTAAACAAACATCCACGTATAAAAGCATATACCTCTCATTCTACATCAAACATTCCTGTGGCATGTGTGTGTACAATACATTTTCCTTTTTGTCTCCAGCACAACAAAGAGTTTGAAAAGGAGAGGGACAGCCTGAGGCTTGAGGTGTTCAGACTAAAGTAAGTCACTTTGCCCTAAAATACACAATGACATCAGAAGATGAATGTTATTTAGAGTCCATCAAATTATTTGCAGCCCAATAGCTGGCACACACAATTCTCCAACGTCCTGTGACAACCTGGAAGGTAACATGAACCGTCATCGCATATCTGTGTGTTCTCAGTAATTTGAGTGAGGAGTCGAAGCAGCAGAACTCGGAGCTGTCAGAGAAGATAAAGCTGAGCACGCAGGAGAATGGCGCAATGAGGCTGGAGGTGGAAGATCTTCGCAAGAGACTTGAGATAGCGGACCTCATGTTGCAACAGGTGCATTAAGATACAGGCACAACATTCTACAGTACAACACATATACTGATCTCCCTCTTAAAAATACTTGACGGTTTTTGGTTCAGCACCACAGTAAAAGAATAATGTCAAGATCAGTTTAAACCTCAAGCTATGAATCCGTGTTTGCCATTAATGCAGTATTCAGTATATGTATTTACCTTCATTTAACTTATATTTTCCCAGTTCTCCAGTCAGTCAGATCCCTCCAATGCCAACCAGCAGGTGCAATTACTGCTGGGAGAGAAGCAGCAAGTGGAGGAATATAATCACCAGGTCTGTGTACAAAGACCTTTCTTTTAAAGTCATCTGCATGTGTGTCATGCTGCTGCCAGTCCATGTGGATATTCACTTAAAATGCTTTGAGTTGTGTGTTTTATATACTTTTTTGAATTGTGTGCAGATATATTTATCCTTATCCATTTATACAACGTATAAAATGAAATCGACTGAACAAAGCTAACCACCATCAGTGCTTTACCTCTACCTTTAGCCACATTAATTGTAACTGTCCTGTTCGCAATGACATCAAATTACCCGTGATATGTCATCTACCTTTCTATTATTGTCACAATAACACCATGCCCGGCTTTATGTTTTTAATGTCGTAGCTGATAGAGTCAATTGCCCAGCTGCAGAAAGAGAGGGATTGCTATGCAGAGCAGATCCAGGAGGAGGGTCGTGTATGGAAGGATAAAACGGAACAGCTGCTGACGCAGGTCAACTATACAGAAACATCAGCATGGACTTATTTTAGCATTGACAGTGAAGAAATCTGGATGTTCTATGTGTTTTTTGTTTTGTTTTTTACACTTAACTGATATCTGTGCAGGTGTCTTTGGTGGCAGAGGAAAGGGACAGAAACATTAGTCGTGTCCAGGAGCTGGAAGCTAGCATCACAGAGCTAAAGAATGCTGCAGGTAAGAGGCTCACACATGCAGTGCTTCTTTCTTTTGCTGGCTTTTTGGTAGCTTGGGAATGCCTGATAAGGTTCTTCTGGGATTGAGCTCTCAAAAGCTCTCTTGCAAAATTAGTAAACCTGATAATTGCCATCTCTTCCTCCTCCTCCTCCAGTGTTGTTGTCCCAGGAGAGAGAGGCCCTGGATAATACAGCGCCTCAATCATCGGGGCCATCAGAGAGTGAGGTGGCTTTGCAAGAAGCCCTCAACTCTCTACATCAGGAGAAAGACGCTCTTATCGCACAGTACCAGGCACAGGTAGGAATTGCATTCACACATGCTTGAGAAGTCCTATGTGATGCAGAGTCTTACCGTTATCCCCTAACCTTTTAAAAGGGTGACTGGTTTTCTTTTTCTTTTTTTTCTGTGGAAAGTTTCTATAACCTGCTTCTGGTGTTTCTCTCAGCTACGAGATAACGAGCAGCTGAGCCGCCTGTGTGTGGAGCAGGAGGCGCGTCTGGGGGAGATGGAGCGGCAGGTAGAGAGACAAGTTGAGGAGGGAGACGACCGCCGGCGCATGCTGGAGGATGTTCAGTCGGACAAGGCCACTATAAGCCGTGCTCTCTCCCAGAACCGAACACTGAAGGACCAGCTGGCGGAGCTCCAGAATGGTTTTGTCAAACTGGTGAGGCTGAAAATCCAATGAAACATTGTTAAAAGGCTGTTATTTATGTATTCCATTTATTTAGACTCTAAAAATATATTTTGTGTTCCAATTCATTAGTCATGTCATGCTTTTTATTATTTTGTTATTGTTCCCAGGTTTGATTTATTTCTCAGTAACAATAACTTGAGAAAGGTTTCACATTTTCAGAAAGTACAGCAGGTGTTTACTCAGAGGGGGACCTCTGTCTCCAAGTCCAAAACCTCTTATTACCCCTTCATTTGTACAGACTAATGAGAACATGGAGCTGACCACTGCCATCCAGTCAGAGCAACATGTGAAAAAAGAGCTGGCTCGCAGAATGGGTGAACTGCAAGAGGAGCTGCATGACGTCAAGGAGCAGGTGTGGCTAAACCGTGGACACTCAACGACCAACACAATTCTACCGGTTGACATTTGCTGTTTGCCGTAAAACACGATAGAAGCAGATCAAATGATTTCATTATTTGTCTTTTTCTGCTTCCTCCTGGTATTCATTCTCCTCTTTGTCCCATTTGCTCCAGCTGGAACTGAAAGGTACGGACGTCCAGAGTTTGATTGAGCAGAGGGACCAGGTCGTGGCCCACCTGCAGCAATATTCGGCGGGCTACCAGACCCTGGCCTCAGAGAGGGAGCAGATGCACCACCAGTACCTGCAGCAGATCCAGCTCATGGACCGGCTCCAGCACGATGAAAGCCAGGGCCGTGTGCAACTGGAGATCAGTCATAATCAGCTCAAGCAAGCGCAGGTTTGTGTTTCACGAGACCATTGGCGATGAATCAAAAACCTTTTTAAATCTATGATTGAGTATGCTTTAATAAGGTACACCGCAGTACATCGACACTACTGCGTTTGCAGCCTGTCTGTTTTACATGGCTCTCCGTCGCCCCCTACAGGAGCATCTGGAAATGTTAGTCAAAGACAATGAGCATCTGAAAGCTGAGGTGAAGGAGCTGCTCTACAGCTCAACTCTTGTCACATCATCCAGAGACCAAGGTGAGATCTGTGTCTTGGTGGTACAACGGTACTTTTCAAGCCTTCTACTGCCATTGTTAGATTAAATTCGGCTCACCTTCTCAAGCCTGTCACTCTGTCCCTACGTTACCCAGGCGACGGAGTGGAGAGCCAATCTCTGCAAGAGAGCCCAGAGAAATCCTCGGCCATAATCATCCCAGAAGACTTTGAGAGCCATAAGGAGATGGTGAGGATGGGGATGAATGTTCTTCACAGAAAACTACTTGTGGATTTTCCTGATTTCCTTTATTTTATTACACATTCTGAAAGCCTCAATTATGTTTGAAGTCGAACCTCACATGATCCATCTGGTGCAGTGCCAGTTTGAATAATGTATTTTAGTTCTGAAAAAACAACAAATTGATTGAAATGTTTTAACTCTTTAATTTTAAACTCCGTTCAAAGCCAAACTTTGGACCGTCCTCAACACTACCCCTTCTCTCCCGACAGGAGGAGTTCATCCGAGAAGCTTTGGCTCAGCTGGAGGCAGAGAGGGACGAGGCCAGAAGGCAACTGGAGGAGGAACACCGGCTCCACATGGCAGCCAGGCACCAGGCCGCGCTGGCCCTTAGCCTTGAGCAGCAACCGCACAGCTACACACCTGTTTACGACCATCATGACGACCATCATCACGACCACGGTCACGCCGAGGGCGAGCACGGCCACTGTGAACACAGTCACGAGCATTCGGGTGAGGAAGACCAACCAAAGCTGGGAATAAGTGTCTAGAATGGGGTTAATGTCAATTAATGTGTTACTAAATTCTTAGTTTTAGTTAGGCCTCATTTGAAATCCGTAGTTCTTTACGAATATTCTTTTTTTTTTTTTTAAGTATCTGGAGTGCATTATCTTAATCAGCCCTATAATATCTTCTTCCTAGAAGGAGGAGTACCGGTGGAAGTTCATCAGGCCCTGCAAGCTGCCATGGAGAAGCTGCAGCAGCGCTTCTCCTCCCTCATGAGGGAGAAAGCCGACCTGAAGGAGAGGGTGGAGGAGCTGGAGCACCGCTGCATCCAGCTGTCTGGAGAGACTGACACTATAGGTGAGACACCGACATTTGTTGTTGTATTCGTCTATTTACCGGTGATTTTTAGCTAGAGAATTTAGTGATTTAATACAATGCTTTGAAAAGTCTTCCTCCAGGGTGTTAATTTCTATGTTTCTTCGTCTGTCTTTTAGGGGAGTACATAGCTCTGTACCAAAATCAGCGGGCCATCATGAAGCAGAAACACCAGGAGAAGGAGCAGTACATCAGCATGCTGGCCCAGGACAAGGAGGAGATGAAAGTACTGGATAGCAACCGCTTTTCTTTTGAAGATGACCATCGATTCAGTCCACTGCATTTCCATACGATGTTTGTCACGATACACTTTTTTGGGCTCAGCTCTCCGTCATTGTTCTTCTCGCTGTCCTTCAGGCAAAGCTGGCAGAGCTGCAGGATCTGGTGATGAGGCTGGTGGCGGAGAGGAACGACTGGTACAGCCGCTACATCGGAGCTGTGGCCGGCGCGGGTGCAGTGAACCCCGACCTGCTTCCTGTTGGGGCGGATCACGCTCACTCAGAGCACCATGGAGACACACCCCTCAATGCTGTCGATGGAGCAGGTAGGCACAGCCGTTACTACTGTGTGTGCAAGTCAGTGGGGGTTACCACCCAACAGGTTGAGTTAGTTATCAGGATGTGAGCGTAAAGGAGAGTCGCACTGGATTTCACTCCAAACTGAAGTCAGCTGATAATTTTCTCTCTCTCCTCTGCCACAGAAGCCATGGAGATCATTCCTCTGTCGGAGCCCACCGCCGGTCCTGAAGCCCCCTCGTCCCAGAAGCTGTCGAGCGGGTCGGCGCCAGAAGAGGACGGCACGGCCCAGCAGATCATGCAGCTGCTTCAGGAGATCCGGAACCCCCAGGGGGCAATGAGATCCCCTCCTTTCCTTGGGGAGAACCCGTGCATCCCTTTCTTCTACCGGCCCGACGAACAGGACGAAGTCAAGATCCTTGTGGTGTGAGAAGGAGGTGGGACAGAGTCTGGCGCACGTCCGCGTGTATGTATATGAGATAATGGACACACTTATCGAGAGATATGACACCCTGCAACACTAGTCACAGTGATCTGAATGTCTTTGACACAGTTACATCACAACCCCCCTCCCCCCTCTATTTGTTTGTTGTTATGGGGCGCTTCGTTTATGATGCTCTTCCCTGAGAGAAAGCAGTATTTCTCAGCGCAATCTGAGTGTTCTCCACACCACCATTTTGAATCACCATTGCCCCTCTCGTCTCCCATTTTACACAGAAGTGCAATAAAGGCCAAATGCCAAATAACATCATCGCGTTTGAATGTCATAACCCAAATATTTAATCGTATGCTTGTGTGATGTGAGGGGCGGTGATGACGGCGAATAGGCGCGAGAGGAGAGAAGAAGAGACGCAGAGGACGATGTGAGTTTTAGTCCAGAGAGAGGAGCTGAGTCCACGTGGACTTTAAGCTCTAGTTACGCGACAGGATTCGGGAAGACAGAGGCAGGTGTCGTAGATTGGTTCTGTTACTAAAATATCTGTTTCTCTATCTTTTTTTTTGTCTTTTTCTTCCAAACACTGAAAAAAAGTCTCCATTTTTCTACAATGTGAAATGCTAATATATGTGAAAGGGTTGTGATGTTAAACATCCTGTTAGACCGGGAGTATAGATGCAATTCATAGATCCCATGAAAACTTATTTTAGTCAGTCATTAAGACATTATTTTCAGAGGGTAATTCTAAAAAGACGCTGGAGCCGCTTTGCTTCGGGATGCTTTCTAAAGGATTATTTTCTCCGTCTTTGTCGTTCGCTTGAATGATACTGAGGCGCAGCGACTGGAAGAGGTCAGAGACTGCTGGTGTTAAAATGCTCTCATCAGTCATCGCTATTCCTCAAATGTTCTCCAGCCTGAGGCATTTGTTGCCCCTCTTAACTAATGTCCACATATATTTATTTTATTTCCCCGCCATCTCAGCTGTAACTGAGCCCGTCTGTAACTCTCATTGGGTCTTTAACTCTCCCAACAAACTTACACTATTGATATGATCCTGTTCTTTTCTGTTACGTTTGCTTATAGTTCCACATATCAAAGAGGAAGTTATGCACATCATATACAACTGGACTGTGTTTACTTGGCGTTAGTGTGAGAGAGAGAGATCAGTGGTACTTTTTGTAGAGTTCAATCTGATTATACAAGTACGATTGCAGTGAAACTGGGCTCCTTCCTTTGGCTGGTTGGACGTTTCTACCACAGAGCCCTTTGCCGGCTTCTGCGGAGGAGAAGGGTGATTCCTGGAGTCCTGGAATCCTATGAAGCCACAGTCTTAAGCTGAGGGTTCCCACTGAAGCGATCTGATTTAATGCAAGTGGGTTGGTGTGTGTGCGTGTGTGCTGTGCTGCACTCGAAGGGTGAAATGTAAACATAAATAAAAGGTTAAATCTAAAAGGAATGGGACCAATCAGAATTTGAGAAAATGATCAACTCTTTCCAAGACTAGTCAAAACTGTTGTATTGATATTTTGTAACACCTGTATTGACGACACTTGAGTTGATCTCAACGTTGCGCCCTCTTGTTCTGAAACGTCTCGCATGAATGGAGAGATGCTCATATTCACAAATGTAGGATGGATTGACATGTGACAATTTTTTCCTTTTTCAACTGGCAACCGAGAGCGACGCTATCTCACATCTGAGATTACATCGCGGCGGAGGCTTCTGGTTTTTACAAATCGTCCCATTATTTTAATATGCAAGGACGTTCGGGTCATACGAAAAATCCCAGTGACTGCTTACGGAGGTATTTTAACCTCATTTGGATGTCTTTGAATTTTAAGATTTCTCTGTGTTTACTTTGGGGTAGAGGACACATTTTTTCAATTGTTAAATAGCACACAAGATATTTATTGTTAAATGCAACGGGGCAAATGGCATTAGTGCAAATTGTGGTATTTTAAACCTTGGTGGAAAGGAAAACTGTAATATGTGGAGGCCATATGCTCTTGACAGGTGTAAAATCTTTTACAGGCAAAGTCATCTGTGCGCCTTGATATTAAACTGGTAACAGGGTTTTTTTTTTTTTTTTTGGAATACATTTACTTTAATCATTCTTGATTTAAAAAGAAATTCCTCGCTTCTTGGCATTCTCTTACTTTTAATTTTTCTTTTTTGAAAAATGCCACAAAATGCGATTCATTTTTCTCCCCCTCATATTGTTTTGCGGTTAGACTGGGAGTTGAATATACAATAAAATCCTTCTAGTGTTTCGGGGCTTGTAAAATAACTATTGAAACCATGTGGATGAAATTACTTTCCCACGCTCTAATTCATTGTTGAATATGTTATGGGTGATGAAACCAATAGCAACGGCAAAGCGTTTATTGTAAGTAAAGGTGGTGTGTATATACTGTAACTGTGTAACATATTGTATATTCATTATGCCTGGTGTGCGTGACGGGAAAAGCTGCTCCGTGGTTACTGGCCGCGTTGGCTGTCGTGGGCAGTTACTGACTGGCTGTGATTTAATAGAGAATGACTTAAAAAAACAAAAAAAAAACAAAGGAAATATTCTATTTATTTGGAATAGGTTAGTATCTCGACTGATCAGTTTTAATGTACAATAGAAGTCACTTTTGGATGGAAATGAAGGATCGTTCAGAGAACTGATTAGTTCGACGGCTGCTTCTGACAGAAGCTTTCTGATTTGTTGTTTTCCTCGAGTAATATTTTCCTGCCTTCTCCTGATTAAAACTGATTAAGCAACTGGAACTCTTGTCTCAATTTCTTCATTATTTTGATCTGAACTTTGTCCGTAGAGTTGCAGCAGGGGGTTTGACTTCCTAAAGGATATAAAAACGTCTTCTGTTTCAAGGCGTAACGGTGGTGTGTGGTAGTCGTACGTATGTGGCGATTCCCACATGTTGACCCAGGCAAACGTACATTGAACATTTTGACCTATTGGTAAGAACATTGAACCCCCTAAAGATGAGTGGCTGCAGACTGATTTGGTTTACACAATCCAGCGTAGCTCTTCTGTATTACACCGTTTACCACCACGAAGAGAGGAAGAAAACCAAGGGAAGACTTCAGTTAGCACACTGAGGTTTTAATGTGTTCAAAGCACATCAGTTCTGCAAGATGAAGTCGTCATTCCGCCCGCAGCGCTTTGAACAAGATGCACGACCCTGTTCGCTGCCAGAAGTTCACACATTCACACAGTCCCTTTCTGCTCTTTTACACACAAGGAGGAACCAAAAAGGAAAAAGAAACTCTGCTACCAGCTAGAGTATCAAACAACCTGCCAATGTCCACATACATCACTGCGTTACACGTCTTTATACTTCAAATGTTTCTTTATACACATATGCATTTATTCATAATTTATACTGTATTCAGCAGACTAAATTCTCTAGATTGGAAGTACAAGTCCCATAAGAGGCACCACACATATACATTGTACCACATTAAGATATGCCCATAATAAACAATTTACTTTTACATAATTAGCAGAGGTTTGCGTTGTGGAGATTTCAGATGTACAAGGGGTCACAGAAGTAGTTTCTAAATGCCTAAGAGGACATCACTTGTTTGGGGTCATATTTAAACACACTGATAGGGGGGAGCAGGTGGGTCACAGGCTCTCACACAGCAATGTGAGGGTGGAACAGGAGGAGCGTTTTGAGATTTTTATGCATAGACTGTGGCTGTTTTCGTGTTCTCACTCACCCCCATGACCACTGAGAGAAGGAAAGAAAAGAAAAGAGGAAAAAATAAATAAATATGCAGATCATAAACCTGGATAGCGTTTTCCTGTGAGTACGTCAGAGGATTGATGCACAATGCAAAATGATCATCCCGCCTAACAGTCTCTGGGCGCAACCCAGGCCACACATTTCCTTCCTCTCAGTGAGAGAATTTGACTTTGGAGTGGCTGGTGTCATGCAGCCGTCTGCAGAAGGATAGTTGATATATTGCAGTCTTGTTAGATCTTTTGTTAGATAAGGTGTTTTTTTTAAAGGAGAGAAGGAAAGTGGGAATAGTGGCATGGGAGGCGCCTCTTTAAGCCAAAAGAAAAAAGCATTGGGAAACCATTTTCCCTGTTGCATAGGTTCTGTGGAAGCACAGACTAACAGTGTTTTTGTATGGTGGTTTTGGACAAAGTCTTTTAAAATATTTGTCTGTCCCCTGATTCAATTACATAAGAAAGTTAGAACACAGGTGAATTTAGTGACAGGGAGGCCTTTACCACAGGTCACCCAGGTCATCACATCTGTCCTACTGCAAGGGGAGAAAGAAATAAAAGAAGCAAGAGAAGTCTGTATGTGGTCCTTTCCCCCCGTATTTCATTCAAGCCCCCCTGGTCTGTTTCTTTGTTGGTGTGTGAAAACCCCATTTTAAAGAAAGGAAGCTAAAAGGCAAGATCGTCACCTTGTAGCCTGAAATGCTGTGAGGAAAATAACATTTCTCCCACATGACTTAACAGCCAGCAGGGAATTCCTTACAAAAACTAGTTTCCAGCTGCTCAAATTGTCCTCAGAACATATATTGTCACCAATGTTCATCGGACAGAAGACTTTGTTATGGACATTCTGATATTTATTTGCTGTTCGGCCTCTTTTTATCCAAAATTACAGTAGGGCCGAGATCCTCCTTGTGGCAGTGGCAAGTGGGTGGCAACTTTGTGGCAGGCAGCGGCAATCGCCAGTAAGTCAGTCGGCGTCACAACGGCACGCTGGGTGGGAGGAGCCAATTTTTCCCAGAAACAACTGTTATTTGTACGACAGGTCAGCTGCTGTAAATATTTTATTTTATTTAATTTTATTTGAGACACGTGAGCCCCCGTCTTCTTATTACAGAGGCTAATTTTAGGTTTGGACCGGCGGGTTCCGTGTAGGGGGTGGGGCTCTCAAGTTTGATGCCACCCACTTGCCACTGCCACAAAGAGGATCTCGCTGTCACTCCAAAATTAGCTGTCATTCTTTTTAAACTCTGCAATTTTCGCACATGACCGGCAGCACAAGGTGAGTTGATGAGATTTTAGTGAGGAAAAACGACAAACATAAAAGAAACAGGAGAGAAAATGATAGTTAGGACAAGCCAGTCAGCAGGCAGAATACCCATCAAAGAGGCTGGAGTATAATGTGAAACTCAGGCAAAGTGTCATGCGTAGTTTGCTCGCACCTTAGTAGGAACACATATTCTAATTGTATTTGCTTGTAAATATGTATGCATACATGTGTGTGTGTGTATAAAAGGAGTGTGCATGCAGATGTTCGCTTAACCTCTACAGATAATCAACTTTGATATTTTTCTACATTATTCGTTTAAATTTCGAGGGTGCAGCACGTTTGTGTGCCAGTCATGCGAGTTTGTTTCAAGTATTCAGCATCTCTGTGGGAAACAGCGCTGTGTGTGTGTGTGTTTTAAGGGAAAAGTAGGAGCAGGACCGGTCGGGTGTTGCAGAAAACAACAGGAAGGTGGCGTTGTTGTCCATGGACTCCCATCCAGAGGTGGGACAGAGGGACAGAGGGAGGGAGGAGCTCAGAGGTCTAGTGGGTTGGAGACGGTGGGGGTCTCCGACTGCCATGGACACACAAACGCACACAGAGACAAAAAGGACAGGGTCGGAAAAGGTGGGGCTACTGTTTCCCCATGAAGTAAAGGTTTAAATTCTAACGTTGATGTTCCACAGGCTCGTCCTCGCTCCCGCCCCCTCAATGTGTAACATACCTTCACTCACACAGATAGCCACTCATATTATGAGATAACACATGGAAGGAAAGCCCACAAGCAAGGCTCAGTTGGCCTTGATGCTGTTTGTAGTATAGGCGAAATGTATATAAGTGTAGAGCAACTATAGTGGCAGTGGTTTTCAGAGGCCTGAATATGTGAACAATGCCGTTCATCCCTGGAGAAAAAAAGCTTAGTTGAGGAGTGAGCAGTGCTACCTGCACACATGCTACTATGGACGTAGGCCATGACTGTAAACAACAACGTCAGACACTCAGAGACAGTTACAAGTTGTGGACGTGGGTGGGATGCCATGGCATTAATACATCACGCACGACACTGACACAAAAACAACAACCGTCTTCAAGTTTCGGACAGTTTGAATCCTGTCTAACCTGCAGCGATCTGAGAAAAGTCTTCTTTCGCAAGACATTTTCATCACACTTTGACACACTGACGCCCCCTTCAATAAATTCATTATTGAAACAGCTCCAGGAATCAGCTCAGACACGGACGCAAACACACGCACACCCTCTGCGCCGGGTGTGTGTGTTTGCCCATGCAGCGCTCTGAGAAGAGAAAAGAAACGTGAGAAAAAGAAAACCGGCATGCGAGTGAAAGGATTAGCGTTCCGAGAGGAAGAGGAAAAAAAAAAAGAAGGGATAGCGGTCACGATGAGGGTGATGGCGGACAGTACCCAACGTACCAGACACGTTACTCCTCATTGGTCAGTGATAGTGATTCTGCAGAAGGAAACCATAGTCATGTGTGGGACAGAGGTGTGGTGAGGAAAAGGGAAAGAGAGAAAAAAAGGAGTGCAAAGAGTTACAGTGCAGGAAATGAGCAATGTCACATGTGCTCAGCTCTCACTTAGGTCATAGCAGAACAAACCACTTCACCGCTGATGATTCTGACGCCAAATGGAGGGATTTTCAGACACTTTCCTGTTTTTCAGGGCAGCGTTGGCTAGTGAGAGCTTTGCCTCTGAGATGTTAGTGTCTCCTGCTTCTCTTACAGTGATGGTCAGCTAGCTCACAAAACCCAGGCAAGCACGAGATACAAGATACAGATACAGTTAATGGAGAACGTAAAAAGAAAGCCCCTCTGACGCTCATTCCAGTCACCGACTTGCTTTGAAGCGCCCGTTTCTTGACTACTCCGATGAGGTCAGTGGTGAGGTGGGTGTAAGCGATGCACAGTGGAGTGTGAAAGGTGTGTCAGAAAGGTCAAAGTAATGGCAGACACACAACTAGTTAACCAAACCAAGAGAAAATGAGGAATATAGTCCATTGGTCATGCGTTCTAGGGACGCCTATCAATCTATTCGTCGATCACAATCAGCTCCCCACTTTAATTGACCTCCTTTTTTGCCCTCAGTAAAAAGAGAGCATGCTTCAGGTTGGATTGCTCTGGTTTCAAACGTGGGAAAAGCTCGTTCTCTCACGCCTTCGCTCACCTCGGCACACTCGGGGGAGCGCGGTTCGGCCGGGAGGGCACAGTGGGCGGCGGCCCACTGTAAGGGTCCGGAGAAGCCCCCGGGCGAGACGGCACGGGGGGTCCCCCAGCGGGAGGAGGCCCCGGTGGAGGCCCACGAGAGCCCGGGCGGCCCGGGGGTGCTCTGCGGTTCGGGGTTGGACTGGTGGCTGGAGACCTGGAGGAGAAGTGGGGGGGAGACACGGACCTCTGGATTAATGAAGCTACGAGTCAGATAGCGACCCTCCGCCCATCACCCCCCCCCCCCCCCCAAAAAAAAAAACAACCTCTAACCCCTCTTACCTTTTCACCGGGGCCTTATCTTTCCCCCGGACCGCTCCGCTGCCCCTGCAGCCCAGAGTCGTCCCCTGGCCGCGGCATGTTGGTGGTTATGGTAGATGTGCTGATGTCGCCGATGATGCTGAGGGCCTCCCGCAGGGCGTGGTACATCCGCAGCATCTCGTCACGGTGCTGGGCCTGCTCCTGGGACTCCTCCATCAGCGTGTTCTGGTCGCCGCACGAGTACAGCTGGGCCAGCAGGTCCGCGTTGATGAACTCTTTGGTCTGGACAAAAATGGCGGATATGATCGGGACTGTTGGGATTTTTATATACATACAGTTGGTAAAGCGGCGAGCTCACGTTGTTGATCATGAGATGCATGATGGTCTTGGGCATCAGGTCGCGGACGGTCTTGTTGACGATGGCCATGTAGGAGTCGACCAGGTTACGGATGGTCTCCACCTGCCGCTCCAGCTGAGGGTCCATGCTGTGCATTATGTTGTCGGAGCCGTTTTCATCGCCGCCGTCGCTCTGTAAAGAGACCAACGAGGAAGGGAGGGAGGGAGGGCAGAGGGGAGCGCAGAGGTCGACTTCAGTTCAGCTTCAGCGAGAGGAGAGTGGAGCTACAACATGCAGGGTGAAAGGTGACAAGCCACTGTTGAGGAGATGGTTAACACGGAGATAGCGTACCTTTCCTTCCTTGTCCTGTACACAGCGATGGGGAAAACAGACGTTGAAAGAGGACAGTTACAGTATCACATGAGAGACATGACAACATTTAAATAAACTCAACCCAACAACTCATACAAAAACAACACTCAGCCGTCCTTTGAGTTTTATATGTGTTTTGGACAAAAAGTATCACGCTTTTAAACATGGTAAACTGAAACGTATTTTATGCTTTGAGAAAATCTTACCGTGACCCGTTCAGGATAAATTCCGGCTCTGAGGAAAGAGGCCTTCCAGGCATCAATGTCTTCCTGAGTCTCACAGGCCAGCTCCAGCTGACGGTAGTCCTTATAAACGTTTCTGTGGACACCAAATGCAGTTTTATATTCCTTGTGTATTCATATTTGTTTTTTTTATACTCCAGATGTGTGAGTTGTGCATTTTTATATCTCTATACCGGTGGTGGAAGGCAACTCATGGTTATAATATTTATTTAATTAGTGAGGTTCATTTCACAGCGTAGTTCTACTTTTCTTTCACTCCCCTGCGTTTATTTTACAGCTACTTTGTACATTTGAACTTTGCACCATGTGATCAATCACATGCATCTGTTATGTGTTTGTGTGCCCGTGTAATAAAAACCTCTGTTCGGTGTTGAAGAGGGCAAAGATCTGCTTGCTGGACATGAAGCCCTTCTCCACGTCGCGTAGCTTCAGGTTGTCCACCTGCAGCATGTACTTCTTCTCCTTCTCCTGCAGGAGGCGGAAGAGAAACACACTGGTTGCACACGCGGGGGAGAGAAAGGAGGAGGCCGAGGCGCTCCACGGGTGAGGAATTTGGCTCTGGGGTAAAAGCCGTCACAGAGATGAACAGCATTTTGCGCGACATTTTACATGTGACCACAATAGAAGAGCCACTGCAGAAGTCGATGCGCCGTTAAAGTCATCTAATCGATCTGATGGATCTGATGTGAATTTCAAGAAACAAAGTGACATGATTGATGCCAAAAGAACTGGATTGAATTCTCCCACATTAGATTCAACAGCATCGCGAAGAAAAAGAAGACAACGGCAAGAGAGACAAATGGGAAAGTCACACACAGCCCTCGAATCTGTGGTTTTGATTACGGTTTTGCCGGGTAAAAAAGGGGGGGGGGAGCCACAAATGAGAAACACACACATTCAGAGAGAGAAAGAGACCGCGTTCCAGTGAAGAAATCTCTTGTACTTGTAAATCTGCAAACAGCATATGATATCCAGACGTGCAACTATTTATGAATCAGAGGACCTCAAAGAGTCTGACACATGCCACCACTCTCGCTCCTTCTCTAACACACACACGCACACACACGCACGCACACACACATGTTGGGGTTTAACTCCTCAAAGTCTATTGTTACAAAACGAAGTTTCCTGAGGGTGAATTTATGTGCGTGTGTGAACGTTTTACTGTAGACAGTAAAATGTGTACGAGAAAAAAAGGATAGCCAAAAATAGTGAGTCTCTTTAAATATTGATAAAAACACACACTCACATAAGTACACACACACACACTGCTTTGGTAGCCAACAGCACCTTTGAGCATAGTCTCTAACTAACCTTAAAACCATCTGGATAGCTAACCACGGGCGTGCCCTGCCCAAGCCAGTATGTGTGCGTGTGTGTGCGTGTGTGTGCGTGTGTGTGTGTGTGTGTGTGTTACAGAAAGAGAAAAAGAGTGAGATGGAGACGGGGGTTGTGTGTGTGTGTGTGTGTGTGTGTGTGTCTGTGTGTGTGTGTGTGTGTGTGTGACCAAACTGCTTCATCAAAGGATTTATGACCTGTGCAGCCAAATGCTCATATCCCCCAACTGCATGTAAAAACCCTCTCACTCACACACACACACACACACACACACACACACACGCACGCAGGTGTCCACTATACAAAAAAAATAAAAATAAAAACCAAATAAGCAGTCGACCCAGACTGCTGACATCATCATTTATGGGGCAAAGAGGTCCCGTCCTCAGTCTCTAAGTTTGCCGTATTTCTGCATTTTCCTTCTTTTTTTCTTGCTCTCTTCTTTTTTTCTCTCCCCCTTCCCTTGTTCCCTCGCTCACTTGCTTCCCCTCACCCTGGGAGTGAGCAACCTTGGACTGATTCATACATTTTCCTCTCCTCTGGCCAGTAAATCCAGTCAGGAGAGTTGGAAAGGGAGAAGGATGAAGGGGGGGAGGGAGGGGGGAGGACGGGGAGAGCCCAATGTGGGGAAAGTACAGAGAAACTGAACTAAAGCAGAAGAGAAGGAGCCGCAGATTGTTAAATAAAACAAGCTAGATGTAATAATACTAAGACGCATTGTAAAACGTATAGATTCTTTATAACTGTTACTTTTAAACTGCAAACAAGAATCGTCAGAGAATAAATACGACAAATACAAAGAGTAATACAAGAAAATCGCACACAGTTTCCCTACTTCTGAGAGATTATTAGGTTTTCTGTGTGTGTCTGTGTGTGCTTTCCCCGGCGCGTGTGTGTAGTTGTGTTGAAGGAAGTCTGGAGTTGAGTGCTTTCCCATATGCTCCCATAAAAGCCAGCCAGCAACAGCGGCCAACCGTACAGATTTCTGACATTATGCACGCACACGCGGACGAATGAGAAAACAAGCTTGAACATCCAGATACACACATGATATGCATTAGCTATATGAGATACATAGGAATAAAGCACACACACACACACACACACACTTTATTTGACCTTTATCCGCAGCAGTTTTACTTGTGAATCAACCTCCAACAGACAGACAGGCAGGCAGGGAGGCGCATGCACGGTCACTGCCGTGAGGTATGAACGTGAAATGGCTAAACCCGCCGCGGCCCCGCCGGGGGACTTCTTCTGTTTGCAATAATCACAATGGAAACAGCACGTTTTTTTTTTTTGTGTGTACTTTTTCATTCGGCTGCTATGTAGTGCTCTCGTGTGTGTCCCTGCGGGTGTAATCAATATGCAGGAGAAGATTTGTGAATGCAGGAGAGCAACCAAGTGGGGGGATCACTGCCTTGGTTGGGCTTTAACTTTGTTGATTAAATCCCTGAAATACGTCTTCGATTAAAGTACTCAAGTCAAGTCTCTGTTGTATTCGAGTCATGGACGGTTATCATAAACCAGCAGCGATGTGATTTCAGTGCTTTGTGGCGGGACGCTTCTGTCTGGAGGCTCCAAGGAAGAGCTGAGATGGTTCAGCCTTTGCAGTAGGAGGAGGAGGAGAAAATGCAGAGTGATTTATACCCCCAACACGACTTTCAACCTCCACGGCGCTGACACTCTGACGAGAGCTGATGCACCAGAAGCTGTCCTCATCAAGCTTTTTATAAGGACTTTGAAGTCTTCCGATTGCCTCTTTCTTTTGTTATATGATCAGCCGCCTTGCAGGCCTCGGCTTCGAGATTAGCGTGCACGTCCTCGTTGTGCACGATAGGCCAGCCCTCTCATGTTGTCTGGTGTCTCCTGATAAGCCATCGGTGATCTTGACGCACTTAACGGTCAACCAATCAAAACACCTCTTAGTTGTAGTTACTGAATGTGTGATGTCACTGACGGAACTTCGTATTCGGACGAAAGGAGGTTAAAAGTTCACAAAATCATTCACAAAATTATTCTCTGGATTTTCCATTTTGCAGGACAAGAAAAGGAGTATTTTTTGTTGTCTGAATACTAGTTCTTAATATCACCATCCACCATATTGGAATGGGTTAATAAATATGAGAAGCTTAAATCTAAAGCCCTCATTGTGAGTTGGGAAAGTGTGTCTTTTTTAAAGTCGGGTGACCTGACCCGTTAACCTGGGACACTGAGTTTGAAACCCCCCCCACCACACACACACACACACACACACACACACACTCAGCAGGCGGTGCTCTCAGTAGTTAACCTGTGGTGTTTGGAGCGGTGTGTGAGCAAAGTACTTTCCATGGTTTTATTTTTCTAGTGAGTAATAGCAGGCTCATTATGAGGAGCCAGAGGAAGTTCACTTCTGGATTCATAAAGGCATTTCACCACTCACACTGCGCACCGTCCAAAAAAACGTCTCAAAGTCTCAAACGCTAATTCCAAATGTGGATGAAATATGGCCTCACACACACAGACACACACACACGCACACGCACACACACAGAAATGCTACAGTGTGTACAAATGCACACAAGGGGACCGTACGCAAACCATATCCAATTAACAAACAAAAGTATTTTGGTGGGCAAAACCTAGAAGATAGGCGTTAACTGCATCCATGTTGTTTTAAAGCGCTGCATGTCTTAATGTGTGTGTGTGTGTGTGTGTGTGTGTGTGTGTGTGTGTGTGTGTGTGTGTGTGTGTGTGTGGTTGTGTGCATGCTGATGGGAGCCTGAAAAGTCCTGGTGACTTGGGCCATGCATCAAAGGCCTGCAGAGAAGCTGCACGGCATCTGGGAGCAATAACGCTGCCTCTAACCCTTCATTACCACAAAGACTGGGCCCTGGGTGGCAGCCAACGGCAATTTTCACAACCCTCCTCCTCACCTCCCTTCGGTTTTCTCTCCCTCCTTTCTTCTACCATTCCTCTATTGAGTTCTGGCTTTGACCAAAAAAAAAAAAATGAGACGCAGAACATTTCTGTAAGTCGAAAAGACATGAAAAGGGAAGGGACTCGTGTTCGAAGCATTTTGTTCAGCGTCGAACTAAAAGTAGACCAGTTCAGTCAAATTAACACACACAGAGCTTTCAGGAAGTAGGTCTGTTACTTCTAAGCATAATGTACTTCTGAACATTATTTTATTTTTAAAGGAAGACAGGTATCGCTGAGGCGACTTTGTAATCAAAAATCTGTGAGTATTACGTCTTGTGATCTGACTTAATGCCGATTTTATCTAAAGTAAAGAGCCGTGCTGCCGATATTTAAATCAAATCATGATTGGGAACATCTAGATTGGAGCTACTCTGTGTTAGAACACAGCTGCTGATGACTCATCCACCAACAAGGTTGCGTAATAACGCTGATAACAAATCAGCTTGGGCAGCGCGCCGGTGTCCCCACTCGCTTTGCATATCTTGGGAAGTGCCTCTTCATAACAGTGCGGACACAAATGTTTCCAACAAATCAAACGCTAAACGTCTAGTTTCCCTGATTAAAAGATGTATACATTTTGCACGAGTGTGATGCATGACATGTTTCGTCTTGGCAGGTGGAACTCGCTTTTCGCCGCTTATTTTTCTTTTTCACTCCCAAATGTTTAGCCTCGGCCCTCTCCAGAAAAAAGTGTCGGCCTCAGTGCTCTGCCTCGCTCTGCCCTGTGGGAACGAGCACAAACGCAAATAAACTCCTTCACGGAGAAAGGAAACGTCCTGCTGGACAATGACACATTCAGCCGGCGGTCCGGCCCCGAACGCGGGGCGGCCGCTCGGATGGAGGGGTGGGGGGGGGGGATACCTTCCTGTTTAGCAGCTAATTGCCAAGCGGTTAATTACATGCCCCTGCGTTTACTTCTGCAGAAGGTCAGTCAAACAACCCAGAGGCCGGCTGGGACATGTGATCAATCACTGGTGACCACCTAAGAGTAAAAAGAAAGAAAGAATGAAAGAAAAAGTGTGGAGGGGGGTGGGGGGGGACGGGAGGGCAGCGGAATCCGCTAACCACACAAACACGCTGGAATCCCCACACGTCTGATGGGAGGCCAAAGCTGCGGTCGACCCGGTCAGCTGCTTCCTTTAAAGTCACGTAAGTCCAAGTGTCGA